ATCTTATGCACAGCTCTGTTAGCCAAGTGTGAGACTCGAGGCTTGTGTGTCTGGCTACACCGCCAGCTAATCTATATGCTAATGAGAAGATGATAATCAATGAGGTTCACGCATGGTTGGCCCCAATCAATACCAGATTGCACCAGCAAATGACTCAAATGGCTACATTTCATACGGCCAGGCAGTTGGGTGGCGTGTTAATGTGGTGGGGCAAGCCATAAGTATGCAATTATCCTCTGGTTTTATCTACCCTATTCCACATAAATGAATTCTGTTGTCATTAAAGAGAGGTTTGAATTCAACTGCAAAGCTATCCCATTTCACTTTTATGAGGGGTTTGCAATCTCCCACTTCTTTTGTTTTGCATTTCATTTCCATAACTGCAGTAAATAGGTGGTTTGTCACTTTCCTGTTGTGATTTGGCTGGCATGTCCCTCACAGGCTCTGATTTGTATCATAAGGGATTTAATGGTGCTATTTGCTAGTTGCAGCTTTAGGTTATATTTTGTTAAAGATTTAGTCCACCATTACCTTATATAGCAGGGAGTTACTGGGTAATGGCCATCTTGGTGGATCACAATTTTCATTTTTTTACTCTCTAGCCTCAGTGTCAGTCATGTCACAAAATTGATGCTGATTACTGTCCTGCTAGTAAGATAATGGGTTAGATGTTCAGTCTGGCCAAAAGTCACTACTCCTGTCCTTAGCTGAATGTTATGATACAAAATTGGCCCACTCAGAGCTGCACGTTATTTATGGAAATGGTGCTTTGTATAAATGGTTTAAAAGCTGCAGTCTTTAAATTTGTGGCATTGAAAAAGAAATGAGACCTTGAATTTTCAGCTGCCCAGACCAAGACTAATCAAAATAAAGACTATGCTATCCCTGAGCTGTCATTTTAATAAAATACCTCATTACCTTAGATTTGCGGCTTTTCAATAAAATAATTTAGGTGATAATTACAGTCTACCTTATGTTGGCGGGTCTATGTATCCTAAAAAAAAAAATCAGCATTCAGGCAGCAGAAGAGGGGGAGGGGAGAGACAGAGTAAAATCATTACCATCATCTTCATTAGAGAGGATCCTGTTGTCCAATCAGTGTGCTGCTCTGCACGGGGAATCCATAGGCACCCCGTTGGCTGTCGCTAGGATACCACATAATCAGGAGGCAGGCCGTGGCCTGGTTGGTGGAGTGGGATGTTGATGCTGGGACGACGAGCTCGCTGTGTGTTGGGGGTAGACAAGAGGGGCTGGGGGTTTAGATACACCACAGAAACGCACTCACACACGCTCACTCATTCACTCAGTTAGCCAACCAGCCAGCCACACAGTTAGGCAGACAAAGAAGAGCAACATCCTGCAGGAGGACAGCACGCTCCCGGGGGATGGGGCATCATACCCCTGCATCGCGTTGGGGGGGCCGGAGAAGGTAGGAGAAACCAGGGTTAGGGGGCTTTGTCTCAGCAGCACCCTCCACACACACACACACACACACATACACATGCATTTCTCTTTGGATCTCCTGGCTGTTAAAGCCATTATCTCACATCAATCGATTTGTGTAGCTGACAAATGTATTCTTGTGGTATTTTTAATGTGGGTCATCAGAGTTTTCCTATATCTGGACTAAAGGATGGACACTGATGGAGGCTCCTGCACTTCCTTACTGTGATCTAAGCTCTGAAGAGACAGCCAGTCTGTCTGACAGCCTCTTAACAGCTCTCATCTTCCTGCAGGCTATGCAAATACTCTAGACACAAATCTGACAGTCAGTTCTTCCAGTCTTGTAATGCTAGCATGAGTAGATCACTGTATCCTCTGAAGGCTGCAAAGAGCTGAAATAGTGTTGTTATGGTGTTGACCGGCTCTTTGCAATGTATTACAGGCTGCTGGCGCTGCTTTGATATGCAGTCAAACACACTGGCTTTACCACTTCTCATGGGTACCAGATTTGTCCTGAAATCAACTCAAAGCTTGATTGTTGTCGTGGATGTAGTGTTAAGGACTGGAGGGGTGGGGGGTCTCCATCGTACCCTCTTTACTGATGGATGGGTGACTCCTCTCAGAAAGACAGGGGCTGAAGGCATCATTACCAGAGGGGATTCCCTCCCGTCTATACATGAGGAGGCGATGGGAAGCAGACTCTGGGATGTAGGCTAATGACTGCATACAGGCAGGCAGGCTTTGGCAGCAGTGGTGCTTTGTTTACAACCATGAGCCCACTCTGCCTGACCGGATTTCAGCTTTTTCACGGATGCAAATATGTGAAATTTTGAATTCACGGCAGCCACTGTTGAATATAAATTCATGGTCCCTTTGTGTTGGGAAATTTTAGAGTTTATATTAGTTTTTGTATTTTTGTTAAATCTTTTTGTCTCCATTTGTTTTCACTTCTGGCTGGGGTTGTTATTCACGTTTAGTTATAATTTGTCTGATTCCATATAATGCTCTTAGGGTTTGTCCTGCTTTGCATGCTTTTGCAAAGGTTTTTTTTTTAAATTGTTATATTGACATGTACACTAATTGCCTAATATAAGTATTTTCTTTCATTATTATGAATCGTCTTAAGTTTCATTTAGAGCACAGGCAGTGCTGCAAACTCAAATTCCAGCCTTTTCTCATTCAGTGACTGATTTGTTTACTCAAACATTTTAGAGCTATTTAGGGCTGTTCTGCTTTTGCCATTTTAAGGAATAGCATATGGTTTAGTAAGATTGCAGTTTGTTTCCAAGTCTGCTTTGTAGCATAAGTGGGCTATAGAGCTGTGCTTTGGCCCCTAATCCACTCAAAAGAATAATGATGAGGAGGAGGAAATAGCTTAAGAATTGCGGTATGGCAGCAGCCTTGCTCCTTATTTAATTACTTCCATTACACCCTTGCCTTACTCCAGCCCATTTGAAAGCCTCAACATGCTCACCCAACCTTTGCACCTCACATACTCTTTCCCATCCTACTCCCCCACCCCAACCCCCCATTCCTCAATAACTTAATGTGTACACCTCTGTCCTCAAGGCTAGAAATTCCAACCTCCCTGTTTTGGCCTTTCTTTTCAGCTCTGTTACATCAGCTGTCATGCTGTTTGAATCCTCCTCCACACACACTCTCACACCCTCTTCTCTACACCACCAGCATCTCAAATTCTTGAGGTCTTATTCTTCTCTTTTTCTATCAGAGCTCAGCTTCATCATAGGCTTCTGAATTTTCTTCATATCCTTTTAACAACTTAATCTATGCTTTTTTGCCTCCACCAAGGAAGGATACTATCTCTCCTCCCATCGTCTTTGCATCTTCTCACCCCTCACACTATGCTATCCTCCATGTCATCTGCTTGGAGAGCTCTGGACCCATTCCTCCTGTGCTAATGGATAGCAGAGCACCAGGGGACCAACCCTTAAAAAGGCTTTTATGTAAGGGGCCTAAATCATGTGTTCTTTTTTCGTTATGATTGACAATAACAAATGGATGTGGAACTCTGAGATGGTGTATGTCATATAAATGTTGTTTTGACACAGTACTTTTTTATAGACCAATTGCTGTAAAAGAAAAAGTAGACTGGACTCTAATCAAAGGAATTTGAGCAATAATTAGGCCTATACTCATTAAAGTTGATGACGTGTTTGGCTCATGGTTTGGGCTGTTTTGATTTAGTTTTCCGTCATATCTAGAACAACCTCTGTTGCCTTCCCAATTAGTTTTTATCAAATGTACGAGTCTTGTTTAGGTGAAATGCTCCAGTGTTTAGGATGCCATCCAGCGTGGCTATGAATGTTAGCCAGCTACCCTTCCTTTCCTGCTAAATTCACTGGCTTTCATTAGCTTCTAAAATTGCATTTTTGTGTGCTTCTCTAACCAGCTTTGCTCTGCCTGGCCTCACTTTTTGTTTTTGGAGAATGAAGTCAGATGCATTGTACAGTGTTTCAGAGTTTGTGTGTGTAATCTTGGAATACTACAAGGGCAGTTTATTTGAACAGGCTTCTAAATTTGTATGTAGTGTTTCTGTTATGAATTTGTGCCTTTTAAAATGAGCAGACTTCAGAGGAATCCTTAATTTCCCAGTTGATGCTTGGGTTCGATTGCAGATTTGTGTAATGCAGCTCTTTACCTTGCTGTAGTGTTTACAGCTTTGTTGCCATCTGTGGTCAGATGGCATATTTTGGGAATAAGAGAGGTGTGAGTATTGTAGCAAGGCAGGTAGACTTTCCTGGTGTAGTGATTCCCACAGAATTAGATTCTATTTGTGGCTGCAACAAATAAATCAATGTATTGGAAACACTGCTGGTAGACAGTATATTCATCTATGTGTCAGGATTTTTTTTTTACTGAATTCATGTAATTTTAGTTTGACCCAGTTTATTAAATGATTGAATACATGGTAATCAAATGATAATAAAACCATACTGCTTTGTGCGTTCCTGTGTTTGTATGAAAGTGGGTGCAGAGACAAATGTTTTGTTTGGTTTGTCAGACGGATCTCTTGAAATGGATCCAGTTTATATAGGATGCTTTAGCAGATGTTTTTTTTGTTCACTGTGTTAAAATGTATTATTTTTAGTCAGTCCTTAAACCATGTGCTGTACAATGACAGTTAAATGTTAAATGTACAGTCAGCTATGTTAATGAAAAAAATCTTGAGATTATTGATACTGATTATTGTCTTTATTGCTTCATCTGCTGCTGATTGATGATTTTAATCTTGCTTACAACATAGTTTGAATAAAGTTTGGTAGTGCCTTTGGTTATAGAAAACTTTACTATACTTCATCTTTAGCCATGCATGAACTAATTTTCACTGCTCACATGATTTTTCATATCAGATAAATTTATTACTTCCCTTACATTTTATGTGTTGGTGGTGTCACATTTTCTGCATGCACAGGGGAATTTTAGAGTTGGTTGTTGTCAGATGTGTTTTTTGACTGATGCAGAGTTTGGGGTTTGGATATAAAGAAGGTAAATAGTGTGCCCTTTTTCACTTTTCTCTGTTTTTTTTGGTCTTCCAGGCACAGGAGAGCCATTCAGAAGAGCCGGGGGTCAAAGGTGAGAAGAGCAGAGGGCACCATGGAGAGTGAGCCGGGGGCCCCTGCCTCCACGGCCAGCAGCACCGGGACCACCACCCTCACCACCAGCTCCTCCAGCACCACAGCTGCCAGCAGTAGTAGTACTTCTAACACTACTGCTACTACTTCTACCACTTCCACTAGCAGTAGTAATTGTAGTAGCAGCAGCAGTAATAACACTAGCAGTAGTTCCAGTAGTAGTACTACAACAGGAAGGCAGGCAGTCCCTCAAATATCTGTTTACAGTGGGATACCTGACCGACAAACAGTGCAGGTGAGTTTCTTGGCTTTAATGAAATTGTTAACAGCTTGATATTAAGTTGTGATAATGTGTGTAATGTGTGGACACTCAGACAAATGCACAGACAAATACACATAAAGTAGCATACTTTCCTCTGCTCTGCTGCCCTCTGTTGGTGTGCATAAATCCACATACAGGCTTCTGATGTACTCCTGAAATTGTGTTTGATTCGTCTAATAATTGGATCAAGTGGTAGAAATAAGAGGGTATTTTTATTTCTGATCAATGAACTGATGAAGGAAACTTAAATAAATGGACATTTCACAGGATCTGTCCAAGTTGAAGGAAGGAATTCTCTCAATCCTTTAGTGCTCTAGACCTTTTGACCCTGAGATAAGCCTCTACACAGGCTTACCCTCCCTGAATAAGGTCCACTCAACTTTTAGTGCCGGTGCTTTTATAGAGGGGTTTTTTGTTACATTCAGCACTCCTTTTCTTGTATCCACCCTGCTGGTAGTTATAAGGCAAACACTATTGTTAAAATGCCCTCTGAGCTTAACAGACTGCTGGTCATTTATGGTCAGTGAGAGCTGAATGTATGTCTGTGTCGCATCTCCGCTAATTTTACCCTCATTCCAAGAGGTTTGGGTCTGGACGGTCCACTGACACCATGGACCACAGGTCAACATCCTTTCTGGTTGCTTGGCAACCAGGCAGGGGGCACGTTGAGAGGTGAAGGGTGAGGAGAGTTATTCTCAATGGCAGAGGTTTAGCTTTGTTATAATTACATCAAAGAATCATTGAGACTTGTTCACAGTGATTTGAGGGACTGGGCTTATTTATGTCTGTACTTGCAGTGATCACAATTTTTAGACATTTTGAAACATAGACTAATCCTCTGATCTACTATTGAATAAATTGATGATATGACACATTCTGATTTAACACAATTTGATTGAACTGTGATTTGTTATTGTTACTTTTCTGACAATGAAATTATGACTGCAACTAATGACTGAATTTCATTGTCAATTCATCAACTAATTGATCAACTAATCATTTATCTATAAACCATCAGAAAATAATGACAAATGTCCATCATTAATTCCCAGGGTGATGTTTTCAAGCTCATTGTGACATATTCAAATTTCTTTTATCCAACCAATAGTTCAAACCCAAACATTTTCAGTTTATGATGTGAGACAACTAAAAGCAGTAAATGTTTGTTATTTCTTTTGCTTGAAAATGGACTTTGTAGTTGCAGGTTAATTTTGTGTCGATTGGTTTATTTTTCTAATTGTTTCAGCTCTAAATAAAATTGATAGAAAAATTAAAAATCTTTTCTTTTTCCCACATCAGAAATATCCCATAAAATTATGTTATCTTCCACATCAAGAAAGAAACATAGGTAGTAATACACCAGAACCTAACCCTAAAGATGAAGTTTTCACTAAACTGCTGACGGAGTATCGTTTATCTCAGACCGTGAATAAGCTGCTAATGCTAGCATTACTTGCCTTGTTTTGAGTAGTCCTCTTTATTAATTTAACTGTAAGTGCACTTATCATCTTGAGGTTGGTGCCACAGGCAGATACTATGATACTGTTGCACATTTTGAAGACTGCAAATGTAATGTAATGATTTCAGGCAGAATGATTGGCAGCAGGTGTGTGATTGGGGAATGCAGAGGGGCAGGTCACACACACACACACACACACACACACACACACACACACACACACACACACACACACACACACACACACACTAGAGGCACAGAGCTTTTGTTGTGGACAGCTGTGTTGATATTTCATCCAGGATTTGGGTCACATCTGTTGTTGTCTATCAATGTAACTCAATCTCTGATCATCTTTGTTTATGACTGTCTTCATATTCAGGTGTTCCAGCAGGCACTACACAGACAGCCTAACACAGCAGCACAGTACCTGCAGCAGATGTATGCTGCTCAGCAGCAGCATCTGATGTTGCAAACCGCAGCCCTCCAGCAGCAGCACAGCCTCAGCACTGCTCAGCTCCAGAGCCTGGCTGCTGTACAGCAGGTCAGCAAACAGTCATGAAAGAATCATTCTTATTGTTTAGAGATGACCATTGCAGTTATTGTTGACCTGCTGCAAGACATGTTTCAGAAAATGGTAGGTCTCTCCTGCCTCTCTCTCGTGTTCTAGGCCAGTATTGCAGCTGGGCGGCAAAGCTCTTCGCAGAATGGCACTTCATCTCAGCAAACAGGATCTACTCAGGCTACGGTAAGTGCAGTTTTGAGTGTTGGTCCTGTCTTCTAAAAGCCTCGTAAGTTTAAGTTATCTTTGTCCATTAGATTATCATGGAACTAAGTTGATTTTAGCACCAAGACGCTTGGGTGAAACCGGGTACAACACTAGCAGGTCTGTGCGCAGTGCTACTTCTTTTTAAACAGATTAAAGATTGAAATACATTTTTGCAATATTTTAAATGTTAAAAAAATATTTTACATATTCTGGGTCTTGTATACTTGACGTCTTGTTTTGAAGAAAGAAACTGATGTATTGATACACATATTAGTAGAGGTATAGAGGTGTGTAACCTAATTATCCCATCTTCTCCCCCATAGATCAACCTGACCACCTCCCCAGCAGCAGCTCAGCTAATCAGCCGGGCCCAGAGCATTAGTTCTACCCCCACCAGTATTTCTCAGCAGGCTGTTCTGCTGGGAAGCCCATCCAGTCCCACTCTCACGGCCAGCCAGGCACAGATGTACCTGCGCGCACAGATGGTGAGATTGCAGACACCAGGAGCATAGCCACTGGCACATTTATTTCAGTGTGCATATATGCATAAACACAAGCACACACACATACTGCTTGAATAAATAAGCACAGTGCAGCTCAGATGTTGTCCTCTGTAGTCTACGTGTGTTATGGGCTTGATGTGTGTGTTATGCATGCATGCATGCGTATTATGCAGTAGTAATTGGTTTGCTTTATTCTCATCTTGCCAGCAGAGTAGGTGGTCAGGATAATCTGTCCAGCCCCAGAGGGCTCATTACAAACACAGAAGGGAATGCTTTGAATATGCATGGATACTCAGAAAACATTTCTAGTAGGTCACAGGTGTTCTCTTGGCTGAAGGTTAAGATCCAGTTGTTTTGAAAGAGTTGCTGAAGGAATATAAAGTCTGTATTGTTCTATTTTGTTACAGCTGGTTGTGGGTAACTTGTCGGTTTCAATTTTCCATCAGTTGGCAGTTGGCACACAGACTGTTCCTGCCACCTCATTATGACCAAGTATACAGCATCGTCAAATGTGTTTGATTCTTCTGGCAGGCAGCAAAACACATTTGTCAGTTTAGATTGCCATGGCTTTTATTTATGGTATAGTCTTCTGGTGTTAAATTAGTATTGCATAGATTAGTGTTAAATCAAGCCCTACAGAGATTGTCATTTCCTTTTGATTGATTGTTCCACACATTCACCAGCTAGAGGTTCAAAAGAGTGGAACTGTACAATTAGAACTATTATCAAAATATTATCAAAATTGAAATATGGCCAAGTGCAATATCTAAATCGCAGGAGCTGCAACGTTGTGGCGCTTACAGAAATGCCCGGTCTACAAATCATATTCTCCAAAACATAAATCTGATGTTGTATTTATTCCTTCTTCTTCTTCATCTGCTACTGCTTCTTCTGCTGCTCCTCCTCCCTCCTCCTCCCTCCTCCTCCCTCTTCCTCAAGTATAAAATATAAAGATATGAATCTAAAGCTATAAAGTGAGAAAAACCAACTGTCACTCATTTTGTCCCACTGTAGTATTGTATTCATGTCATGTATGTCATGTCGTTTTTTTTTTGTTTGTTTTTTTGTTTTTTTGAAACTATTCATTTCCTTCACCTATTGAAGATTAAAGAATGCAATCCAAAAAGCATTTCTTCAGTTCTCCTTTGTCTCTTATGCGTGTTGCTTTTCAGGCCCAGCAGAGCAACCTGGTGCAGGTGGCCAGGAGTCTGGGCCGGGCTGTTCCTCTGTCCCCGCAGCTCATCTTCACGCCAACAGCCACAGTGACGGCTGTCCAGTCAGAGAGTTCCACACAGGCTTCCTCACAGGTATGCTCACTGGAAGTTATTTTCATTAAAAACAGAATTACAATCTTTAATGTAGAACTTCCTGGACTGGATCCCACTTGAAAATATGAGATTAAATGCAGAGGTGAGCATAAAATTTGAGAGTAGAGGATGTGTGATGGCAGTATAAATGTCTTCACACATTTAGCAGATCAATAATGAATGAAAAGTTAAAAACATTGCACTTATGGTTGTTACGTTAACAGCATCATCCTTATGTCATTAATTAGTTTGGCGTTCTTAACATACATCATACCTCATTAATTTTGCAATAAACACAGAATGTGTCTCACTGTGAATGTGTCAATAATCTCCATCTTTCTGTTCAGAATCAGGTTCAGAACCTGGCCATCCGTGGCCAGCAGGGGGCGACCACGTCTTCCTCTCAAACGCAGACTCTGCAGGCTCTGAGTCTGAAGCAGAGCCCTGTGGCCATCCAGCCCACCTCATTGATCAAGAATCCTAGCCAGGGGACTCAGGCTGCCACAGGAGGGAAGACCAGCTCTTCTGACAGCCCTTCTGATGGAGGGAAGAAGGGGGATGGTGCAGCAGTCACAGAAGTCCGAGCTATAAATATGAGCCGCAGTGTTACAGCTGTCAGTGCTCAACCTCTGATTGCTCCAGGTAAGTAAACCTTGCAATGCCACTGCCTGAAAAGTTAATGATATATAAAGTATGTGTAGAAGCCTCTTACCCATGAAGCTGACCCTGTGAACATCACTGCCAAGGGCCCAGACCCCTGCAGAAAGTAGTGAAAATAATGGATATTACTGATATTTGTATAGAACAAAAATACATAGTTGCAGCCCTAATGGGTATTGAACATAAATATTCACTCATCTAATTTCTCTGTATTACCAAATTTTGTGTCCCAAACCAAAAGTGAACAATGAATGCTCAGTTACGTTCCTGGACTTCCTTAAGTATTCATCAACCAGGTATTTCAGAACTTACCTGTTAAGTCCTGAGTATCTTCAGGTTGATTAAACAAGCTCTAGTTGATAATGTGCCTCAATATTTCACCCAAGTCAGCTTCTTGTCTTGGCTTGTTTTTCTGTACAGATGAAAACAGTTTGATCATGTGCTACAAGATTGCATGGAGTTTAATTAATTGTACATTTTTATTTCCTTCTGTACCAACTTTACCAATATCAGTCTTGTAGAGCCAGGAGGAATATTTCCTCTCTCATAGCCAAGATGGGTCAAAGCCTGTCCTCATATGCTCATCAGGGGGTGCAGCTGTAACAGCAGGGGAGCTGTTAGTGCTCTGGCCTGGACTAGCTTCTCTGCCATTAGCAGCAGAGCTGCTTGCATCCTCACCATTGTTGCCAGTGTGCATATGAAATACACTGATATTTTGGTTTGGCTTTCAGACGTTTGGGGTTGACGTCTATCCATCTTTGGTTTTAGAAGGATTTGTAACAGTTGGGAAGCTTTTATCGCACTTAATTTGTTGAGTTGTCAACCTGTCTCTGCTGCGATCTGCGATCTGTTCCATTTGTGGGGGATATACTACTATATATATATATATATATATTATATATATCTATAAAAATAGATATAAATGTTGAGGTGAGAGAGATTAGGTGAGAAAAGGGTTTTTACACGTAACGCTCTTGTCTTGGTTGTTGGTGTGACATGTCAGGGCCTGCATCACAAATCCATTCACTCACTTAAGGGGTGAAACCAGCTGTATTAAAGATAGTGTGTTGGGTTGGTGTCTGGAACAGTTGAGCTGCTTTTGTGAACTAGAAGCTGTGAAAGGCAGAGTGCCACACAAGACTCTTTCTAAAGCACTTATTGTGTAATTGGAAGCCAGCAGCTGTTTTTTGTCTTTTTCATTTTAGTGTGAATGGTTGTGAATATGCCAGAAGTACAAGCTGATTAAGCCAAATTAAGTCAATTTTGTTTGCAGAATAAGTCCCTTCAGATGCACTATCACATCTTCCAGAGGGTCCTGATAAGACGCCACATTTTCCAAAATAGTTGATGGTGTGGATGGTGCATGAGCCTAAAAATATGAGTATAAATACACTGTGTGTGTTAATATCTGTTAGTACATGACTGTAAACCTTATATGGACTGAAGTACACTGTGTTAATGCATGCTGTTAGTTTTTGTCTGACTACTCAGATGTGTGTGTGTGTGTGTGTGTGTGTGTGTGTGTGTGTGTGTTTTTTGGGGCATGTGTCTGGGGAAGGAGGGGGGGGATTATCTGAATGTGTCTGTGCACAACTGTGTCTTGCTTTGTTGCAGTAATGGATTCACATAAAATGAAAGGGAGGATGGAAGCTGGAAGTCTGGCTGCATGCTGTCTGAAAAAATTAACATGAGTTGCCATAGCAGCAGGCCATGAGGGACAGGTGTGCACATGAGATGCTGGGGAGTTAATACACTGTGGATCAGGAAGAGGAGAGGCAGTATGGCTATCTGATAGGATCCAGATTAGGATAAAAGCTTGGATTCAACTTGACTGTGACTGGGCCATTGTGCACTTTGATTTGTAGGCTAAAATCACAGAAAATGTTTTGTCCTTATATGCCACTGTCTCTTGTTTATCCAACTCGCCAACTACTGTCATGATTAATGTTTAGTGTCCTGTTATAGCTAATAGAAGGGACAAACCAGTAATTTAGCTGCAGGAAACCAGAGATTTTGCCAGCCGTTGGTGCTGAGTGGTTAATGCACACCCTGTTTACAACCTTGGCTTTAATTAGGCTCTGTGGCTTATTAGTTAGTCTTTTAATGTTATTAAAATGTAGAAAATTACTCGTGACTGTTAAATTTCAAAAGTAGCTAATTTATTTGATGCTAAGAAGAACATTTAGTTACTTTATTAGTTTGCCATATTACTTTTGCTTTCCACCCTAAATTGGTTCTGCTGTACTTTATTGGGTTAACTGTGTACTAAGCTTGCATTAGGAGCATAAAAAGTCCAAATATTGTCTAGATCTTTTCAGCATCACATTTACCACTTTATTGGTGCATTTTTATGTACTTTGCTCATAATTTTAATGTTTCTGACAATACAGAAGTACAATCTTTAGGTACTTATTATTGAGTATTTCTACCTACTCCTACTTTATCCTTTAATTCCAGTGTATTTCAGAGGCATATATTGTATTTGTTACTCCACTACATTTATCTCATGGCTTCAATTACTGGTGACATTTTAGATTAAGATTTTACATAGAAAAACCTATGATGATAGTAGTAGTTAAAATTGGCTCCAATTTGACCAGCTACAACATGCTGCTTAATTTATCCATAATAATCATCTGATAATACAATATATGATGCCCTAACAAAATAACTCAGGAACACAGGCAATTCTGTACGTTTACTGTTTCTACAGTGTGGTTTTACTTCTTTGACATAAGTAAGTTGGCCTGAATACTCCTGAAGGCATCATAAAGCATAGGAAACTGAAACAGATAAGAATTAAGGAGGCTAAGAAATTTTTGCAAGTAACAAATATGGTTACAAAACAAAATGTTCTCAGTAACCATAGTGCAATTATTGAAACAGCATTGTTAATCAACTTTATCTTTACTTTACTCATGTATTAACATGACTCAACAGAGACTAGTCTGCCCTGATCTGAGAGAACAGCAAAATGGAGGTGGTGTGATTAATTGCGCTTGCTATTTTTGGTCATCAGTTTTCATCCAGCAATCCAAAAGATGACAGATCGTTTTGGAGCAGTGTTTCTCTTGCAGTCAATGTCACAAACATTAAGAGTCAGTCACATTCCCTGGAATAGGAATTGGGCTGGAAACTAATGTTAAGCTGTCTGGCTTCTTGCAGTAAGTGTTTGATCGCATACTCTTGGCAGGAAAGAGCCACCTTACTATAAAAACCACAGCAGGGAACCTCCAAAAGTGCCATGCACATAGATTAAAAGAGCAGGTCTGCACATGATGCCTGTTTCTTCGAAATATTATGTAGCTGCTAGCAACAGTATCGGTTGCCAATTTCACTTGAAAATGATTACAAAAAAACCCTGGAAAGGCAAGAGACTAAATGCTTAAGTAACCCTTTTTCATAACGTCAAAAAGACTTCAACTTTATGTAAAATTTTCTCACTTTACACATAAATCACCCTTTTTTTGCCCTTGTCTATTGTATTAAAACATCCACTCTGTTTATTCAAAGGTTGAAAGGGTCAGGTTGTACTTAAATTGTACTCTCACTGCACAGTATACCACTGGTAGAATACTTAAGTCCATCACTAATTTTCCCTATGATTTTATTTCTGTTCACTCTTGAGATTCTGAGCTTTTCCCTCAGTTATTTTTATTAAAGGTTTCAGCTCAGAGGGCCTGACATCGTGTTTTCACAGTGTCAGCCCCGTTTTTTTCTAATTTAGCTAGTGTTCCCTTAATCCCTATCTGATAAGGTGTATGCAAACCTGGTTTTGAATTGTAGTGAAGTGAGGAAAGATGGTGTAAGGCCTGCTGTTGCTCTGTTGTTTTAGGTTGGAATGTGTTTCATGAAAGTAAGCCAAAGCGGCAGCCAGTGAGAATGTGGAAACTCAGGGATTTTCCAGGGCCTAGTGCTACAACCTCATCAGGAACGTATACTGTCCTCAACCTCAGGACATTGCACAACTATGCACAAATAGAGTAAGATATCTGCACAGTAAAAGGGAAGTGGACGCCAGTTCCAAATACTTAGGATTGTATGATTTCATGTATATGTGTGTGTAGGCGTGGGTTCCTGAGTCATTCCAGTCCTTAGACCTTGAGGGGGAATAGCAGTTGCATAATTTCCCCTGTCTTCCTCTACTTCCAAGACCTCTCTGTTCCTCATTAGGGGTTTGAGAAAGTTGTCGGGATTCATGGGAAGGCTGGTTGTATCCGGTGTGCACTGATTCAGGAACCCCCCCTCCTTTCCCCCTCCTGGGGCTGTGAATCACAAGCTACCTCACTGTTTGATTCGTCTTTGAACTTTCAACTTCGGGCTGCTCTCTTATTTTACTTCCAACATATTCATTAATATCCATCGTGAAAAAAGTGGATTTACTTCCGTTGTCATTTATTGTGCAATGTGTGTGTTTCTGCTGCAAGGGTATATTTTATTTTAGCACCACTGCTATATTTAGCAGAGACCCAGGTTATTCAGTGACAGAATATGAGAAATCCTTTGCAGCTTGGAATATGTTTCCAGAGGTTGCCAAGAATGTAGTATGTCCATTTTAAATTTCACAATTCATATGGGCCACTTGTTATTGTCGACATTAACTGAACTATTTGTGTAATTTAGCATAACAATCCCAACTCAAGGTCAACTTCTGGGCTTTTTCTGGAGCCTTCAATCATATTGAACGGTCTTCATCAGTGGATGGAGTTTGCTTGGTTGTCTTGGAAATGGATCTTTTAACATGGAGGTTTAGTAGTTCTTGGGATTTCATCTTATCTCATTTAGGACTTCTTATCTGTGTTGGCCTTAAGGTTAAGCACCAAAGTTCATTCTTGATCTTGACATTAGAAGTTTGAGGCCACAGGTTTTTATGCCTCCGCACCAGAGGCAGAGGCATTATATGTTTTTGGGTTGTCTGTCTGTTCCATTCTTGTGAACACAATATCTTGCAACGTCTTGATGGAATTTCCTCAAATTTTGAACAAGCACTCACTTGAACTCAATGACAACTGATTAGAGTTTGGTGGTCAAAGGTCAAGGTCACTGTGACCTCACAAAACACATTTTCGGCCATCATACGGTCATTATGACACAATTTAACACAGTATCTCAAATATCATAAATTTCCATCAAAATGTCAAAATTTCAATTTGTCCAATACTTTGGTTTAACTAACCGACAAAACAAATGACAGTCCTATTAGACTCATCAATACTCCTACATACTTTTTACTGATAATGGTGAACATGGTAAACATTAAAAATTAAACCTAATTTTTGGTCAAAGTGCCACCGTACCTATGTACAGGCTCACAGCACACACAAGGAGAACACAGACAAATCATTTCAGCTCTAGTCTCATCAAACTACTTTTTTCAAGACCAAGAAGTTAACTTTTTCATGCCAAATAAAGTTATTTGTAGGATATTTGTTTTCATCATCTTTAACAATGATGTCACTCCTTTGTAACATGCATACTCTTTAAAAAAAAAAAAAAAAAAAAAAGTTAACTAACTACTTAAAAATTCATATTAAGGAGTTTTGTGCATTGATGCTGAATTTTTCAAGAGAAAATCATAATGCATCTAATAATTAATTATTTTTGCCACCCGAAGGCGTAGCTGCTGAACCGATGGATGTTGTTATCCACTGAAGTGTCTGTTTAAAGTTCTTCTCAAGTGTGATCCATCTTATAGGCTACCATCCTTGATTATCATGCTGCTGGCCATATCCACCTAACCATGGCTTACATCCATCCTGCTCTGAACATTGTAAATTAACTGAAGGCTTTCTGTGTCTGCCGTAGCTAACCAAATTTTCTGTTGGTGGGTTCCACCATGTGAAAAAGAAAACACTTTTCAGCAGATCCTGTAGCATTAAAGGGACTAATGACATGCAAACTCTGCTGGATACAAATATCTACATTTTCCACAGCAGGGTACAGACTGCGGTTAGTCTCTCACAGGGAAACTTTGAAACCAGATGGAGCCTATCCCACACAAAACATCATGAAAAGAGCAGGGGGAGGAGTAGGAGGAGGAGGGCGATGGGGATTTGAGACAAATGCTGATGTACTTGGCAGGTTTCCATGTTTGGATTTATTGGGGGGGTTTATTAACATCACCAAACACATCCCCACGTTCACACAGCTCACATAGCAGAAGCTCCTGTATAGTACTTCTCTGCAGGGGTAACTCATTTCTTCTTTGGGTTTCAGTAATAAGATTGAGTCTATCGGTCGTTATTGTTTCCTGGTAGAGTTGTTGGAGAAAAGGGAGCCAGCAAAGGGGCTGGGACCTACTGACTCAACGTTAACTCCATAAAGAGTGTCATGGACAGTTGGCTCTGCATGTCTGTTCCTAAGGCATTTCTAATATTTGAGTAGCCTCAGGCTACTTCCGCTGAACACTCTCCCACTCACACATGCTCCCACATTAGAAGATTGATGTACTGTGTCTTGGGCTTCGGGGCAAGTTATGAGCTCAGGATATCTTTTTACCCACAACAGCACTGACAGGTGGTGACAGGCCATTTTGAAACAATTTGTGAGTAATGTTCAGGCCAAAACTGCAACAGCAGGACTCTGTGCACCTCTGAACAAGCTCTTAATGTTACATCCTGTCAACAGGGGGCATACAGGTGAAGGGAACGTTACAAAACATGCTCTATTATGCAGACGTCTACATTTTTCACTGTTTATGAGCCTGTGGCACAGTGTCTCTGATATACACTGAGTTTGAACAGTTGTGAGCTCACATGAAATAAATATTGTTCATGGTTTGTAGCAAGTCAGTTCAACACAGTAAAGGTATTTCTGAATTACCTTTTATAGAAGACAATAATATTTGATAAGATTCCTCAAAGGGCTGCTCTTCCCAGGGAATTATCCTGTGGTGGAAATGCGCCTTTTTAGTAAAATTGCATTGCACCAGTTTTTTTAGTGTAAAATAATTAAAGGTACCCACAAACCTTTGTAGCTACAGTCATAAAAATGACAGATATAAATTGTAGGACTTAATTTAAAGGTAAAATGGCTTCTACGTAGTCAGCTCATAGTGACTTTAGGACTTAGAAGTGTTTGCGTATGGTCGATACATCATTTAATTTTCATACATTTCATAGTCAAAAATAAGCGTGTGTGTTGTTCTCATTCCAGCGTACACCCAGATTCAGCCACACTCTTTGGTACAGCAGCACAAGCAGCAGCAGCAGCAGCAGCAGCAGTTTGTGGTCCATCAGAATCAAGGATCCCAGAAGACTACTGGCCAGCTGCTGCAGACAGCCTCCATCCAGCCATCACAGCACCCTATCCCTGTGCTGCCCAAACCTGCTCCACACCAGCCCTCTACACCCAGCCAGCAGGCCACCATCTTCCACTCCACCATCAGCCCCCATGCCCTCCACTCTTCCCTCGGCCATGCCAAAGCTCAGCCCGTCCAGCTTACTGCCATCAACCTTCAAATACAGCCAACGGTGAGTACAGTTATACACACCAAGGTCTCAACAACTGAACATTTGACCAACTTGGGTTTTGTTTAGTTATATCAAACTGTTGCTGATATCAATGATAAAGTAAAAAACTTTGGAAAGGCCAAAAAGGTCAATCTGAGGGCAGTGTAAGTACAGGCAGGAAGTTGGAGCATGATTGGACAGGTACTACTTAACATCCTGACTTTTTATGTTGGTCACATCCTTGAATTTGGTATTTTGAAAGTGGTGACCAACAAGACAAAAACTACTGTTCCAACAACACCCACAGTATCCATTTCAGTTCCAAGACATACATGTTGAGAAGGACTCTTCTGAGTTTGGGAATCCTGGTGTAATATTTTCCCACTGGTGTGCTATTTTCCAAACCTAATGGTTTTCAATTTTTGAGTCACTGACATTAAAAGTACTAACAGCCCCTGATGTGTCTCTTCATGACTGTCTCAGATGTATGTTCTAACGTTTTTCCCTCTATCTTTTGATCCTAATGAATATCTAAGGCCTCTCGGCTGGTTCAGGACAGTAAAGATAAGCCAACCTCATTGGTGGTGAGAGAGACGTGTCCAACCCCCTCCACACAGCAACAGCAGCAGCAGCAGCAGCAGCAGCAGCAGCAGCAACAGCAGCAACAGCAGCAACAGCAACAGCAACAACAACCACAACCTGCACCTTTGCTGTCACAACCCACCAAGCCTGTAGAGCAGCCCAAGGTTGACACAGCTATACCAGCTGTTCAGCCACAAGGTAATAATTCAGCATTTTTCTAAGCTGCTAAATTGCTCTCTGTTGAGCACCTAAATGTTTTGGTCAATAAACTCTTTAACTAATTAGCCACAGCAAAAAGAATACTGATAGCAGTTTAAAAACTGTGTGTTAACGACATCTTTTCACCTTGACACAGAAAATATAGCTTTATCTCTGCACTCCTCCTTGTCAACTCTTGCAATCTTCAGTGGGGGAAAAGAAAATCAATGCTGATGTTTACTTGTATTTCGGCACATGTTGTGCCTGCAGCTCATTTAGTTTCACTGTTCCTTGTCTCATATTGCTCTGTTGCCGTCTGTTGTCAATCAAACGCCCAAAAAAGCCCTGGACAGCCGTGGACAGCCCTGTGAAAAAACAATTTCAAGTAAATGGAGAAACAAAGAAATGGATACGGTAATGTACCCAGACTGATAATGGACGTTTTATTGTTTTGATTATTTATAAACAGACACTTACAAATGATAGTGGGCACATACCGTTTTCTGTTGCAGTGTGTGATATTGGCCTGCTAGCAGTGAGCGGGGAATGTCATGGTTATATTTTGTTCACACCCATTACATACATGAAGTGGGCAAAAAGTTAGAAACATGTCACATCCCACTAACTCTCTGACAAAGTGTCAACAAAACTTGAAAATGTATTACAAGCACTGCTATTCTATTGTACAGGCTAAAAACTGCATTGCACTACGTTGTCACACAAGTACGCTGCCTTTCACAGTTAATTTTCTGAGTTTTAATGTTTAACGAAAAAAATAAGAAAAAACACATCATCTGGATTTATTCACATTGTCAGTAGGGAGTGTTTCCTTATTTTCTTCTATGACATTTTAAAAACACGTTTCTTTTAACATGTTACTTGCTGTGGGGATGTGACTGATGACTACTCAGTCATTGAACAGCTTTTGTCCATTAGAGAGTGTCTTAGCCCGGCTTGTGTAATACATATATGACGGATGCTTGGAAGAATGAAAGTTTCTAAACTTTGGAAAAACAGTTGTGATATTCTGGACTAAAGCATATGTAAGTGATGAAATGTGGGTGGATGTATCAAGAAAATCCCAGAAATGCTGCCTCATCAAATTTATTTTAGTGTTGCTGTGTTTTCTACTTATTGTGCACATTTTGTCAGCCAGGTGATTTGGATAAAAGGGATAAAGACAGTTCTGATAAGTGATTTGACTCTCATGGTCAGTAGGTTTGAGATGCTGTAAGTGGATGATTATGCAGCAGCTATATTCTTCTTGCTGAGCACAAATTATTTTTGTGTATTTTATAAATGTGGACGTGGATCAGTTTCTATAGTTATATTTCTCCTAAATGGTTGGAAACTGTGCTAATGCTGTGTTTCTTGTAAAATGAAACATTCTTCAAACCACAAATTACTGTTTATGGGCAATGAGTTTGGGTGTGATGTGCTGTGGAGGTGAACTGCTCACCACCAGAGCAGGAAACTATTTTGGTAATCCACTGTCTGCTGTTGACTGCTAAGATAACATGTAGCAAAGGTTTCAGCATTTTTACCATAGAAAAAAACAGGCATTTAAAGAAAGCCTCCAGACAAAAGCTAGTTTGTTCACTTGGTCAAATTTCCACCATGCTCTATGCTAACAGACATTCAGAGAAACTGTCACTTGTCTTTGAAAGGTTTAAATAGAGGCATAGAAATGGAGTAGAAGGATAAATGAGCCCTTAGTGGGGTTGGCAGCAAGGAAGTTCCTGATATAGGCAGGCACATCTAGGTATTTTGTTGTAGGTGGCCTGGCAGCTAAAAATCCAGATGTTTGCTCCTGTAATGACAGCTGTCATAATCGCCCCACTGTGCTCCATTAAAACACTCAAAAATCTGAGAACAAGCAGAGCCACTGAGCCACAAAATAAATAAAGATAGTGGTTAGTTTCAGTTTCAGTCTATAACAGCTGCAGTGAACAAAACGAGTAAACAGTTGTTTTGCATCTGTTTCAGTGACATTGACACCTTCACAGTGCTGCTGTTAGTTTGTAATATTTTAAGTTAATGAGCATCTTTCTAAATCCTGTCCAGATCTTACTGCTACAAAAGATTCACACTGACGTCCTCTCTCTGTACCTAAAGTTTGCACTAAAAGTTGTATAATTAAAGAATAAAATAGAATAAAAATAAATATTGTATAAAGACAGATATAAGTTACTGTCTTATATTTATAACACCTTATTCTCAGTACTGTCCGTAATAAAGAGGCATCGGACCCGCAGATGAACAGTTACCTGATGGTGTTAAAAGCATACAAAGATGAACTCAGTTGGTAGTTTATTACGAACACCTATCTAAAACAAATGCAGTAAAATACATCTGTCCTGGAATGAATCCAACCTCCATGAAAGTTATAAAAGTCATGGTCAGTTTTTATTAAAATAGTTTCAGAGAGATGTTGATTCTACTGTTCATCTGTAATTTTGGAGGCTGCAGTTTGTGGTGACCCTCAGGACACCTCACCTCGGGCACCAAAGTGTCCAGAGACAACCCTGTGTGCGGGCCCCACATTTGTGTGCTACGCCACTGTGCTAATGTGTTAGTTTATTTGACGCTTTAATTGCTTCTCATAGAGGAAGAAATTGGTTTTAGTCGCTGGGACAAAAAGAAAGAAGAAAGAAAAAAGGAAATATTTCGTTCACGGTTGAAACATGTCGACATGCAGCAGCAGCCTGGGGAGGATTAGAGCTGGCAGCGTTAGCTGCTGTGGGAGGAAACAGGGAGGCGGACCCTGGTTCAAAGCCTCACATTAACGGGTCTGAAGCGGCGCTGCAGCTTAAACCCAATCAGTCACAAACAGCAGCATCAGGTCGGTGTGTGTCTGTCGGATCATTGCAGCAACAAACACAAACCAAACCGCACATGTTTTGTGTCTGAAAGGAGCGGAAGTTGGCGCGGTAAGAAAACTCTTCTCATTCAGCACTGAGGCTTTTAAGATGACAAAGCATGGCGGCTGGATGTTTACTTTCGCTTTGTTGATAATACGACCAGACGTTGTTGTGATGTTAGGAGTGATACATGATGGATTTACTGCCTGTTACGGACCGTCAGGCTGCCAGTAGGTCACCTCAAAATGTATTGTTGTCTATTGTTAGACCATCAGTGGATAACTGATCTCATATCAGCAGATGACTATAATATGATAATTATGTATTTACCTCGCATTACATACCGTTATAAGCATATGTAGCTTCGTATCTGATGCTTCAGTGTTATAATATGTTATCATCTGACAAACCATTTGATTTCAATGACGAAATAAATTATTCATGTTGTATCTCAAAAGTTTATAGATTTTTTTAATTTTATTTATTTATTTATTTTTTTACCAGTTTTATTATGAGGATCAAATTTGTAATTCCAATAATAAAGGTGGGTAAACTGGGATTTAACTTCCTCCACATTGCTGGTGTAAAAAGGTTTCTTAACTGTAATTTCATTATGAACTGCAGCTAATAATGCATTTTATTATTGATTTATCTGCTGATTGTTTTTCTCGATTCATTTGATCTAAAACTTGACATAATATTTGATATTTTTGTAAAAAAATAAAATAAAATTACGATCACATATGGCAAGGAAATTATCAAATGTTTAGGTTGAGATGTGTGGCTTCTTGCGTTAAAAATGACTGAAATGATTAATTGGCTGATTATGTCTAACTTCATTCAAACCTAGGAGTGATCATTTTGTTCTTGTACAGTAACTGGATGCTGTTGTATTTATTTCTTGGTCAGGAGGGGGCTCAACCAAGAGGCAGAGTGCTGCACCTGGGACTCCACCTCCAGCCATGACCTCAGGAAATGAGAACGAGGCGCCCAGCGTGACGGGTAGCACGCCGCAGAACGGGGAGAACAAACCGCCCCAGGCAATCGTCAAGCCCCAGGTCCTCACACATGTCATCGAAGGCTTTGTCATCCAGGAGGGAGCCGAGCCGTTCCCAGTCTGTGTAAGTGCCCGATCTCAGCTTTACCAGCAGAGAAACATGATAAACAACCCAGGGCCGCCACCACCACCACTCTCCAGTGCACATGCCTGCAGGGACCTGTCAGCAGGCAAACACAAACCCTCCGTTACTACTAGTAATGACAGCTCACAGCTTGTGTTTGATTCAGTCATTAATTATAGTGAGGGAGGACTATGTAGCTGTGAAGCAGTACAGATGGATGACGTGCGTACAATGAGCCACATCGAAATGTCTCATGACTCTCAATGCATCAGAATCCTTCTTTAATCTGTCATCTCCCTTAAATATGATATAACATCTTATAATGATTATGCAGTGTATCAGTAGGTCTGCTGTTGGCATTTATATCATTGCATCTTTATTAATCACGAAAAAACAAAAATGTTAAATTGTTAATTTCGTTAAGGCAGCATAATGGTTCGTGATTTCTAGACTTTGGGCTCACTGCCTCCTACTGGACATTTGGTGTAAATGCATTCTATATTTACATGCATACAGGTCTGAACAAACACAAATAATGTAGTTCATATTAGGCATGAAATGTCAAATTGTCTACATTGCAGCAACATTTAACTAGGGTTTTAAGTGAAGACTTGTTTTTATTATTGATTGTTGGTCTTTATTTTATGAAATTTAAAATATCTTAATCATGCCATCTAAATATAGCTTGTTTTTTCCGAACAACAGTCCACATCCAAAAGATATTAAGTTCAAAATGTTGTGAAACAGAAAACAGCAAGTCTTCATATTTGTGAGGCTGGAACCAGTGAATTTTTGGCCAGAATAGTTGTTGATCAACTCACAGTTTCTAGAACTACTTTGAATCCATTAATTAAAATCGTGTTAATTGTGAAAGCCCATGGTGACATCATAAAATGTCTTTGTTTGGTCCTAACGAAAATCCCAAACCCAGAGATATTCCGGTTACTTTCATAGAAGAGTAACAAAACAAAAAAAATTGGTTGATTTAAAAAAAAATTTGTTAAAATAGATTCCATTTAAGTTTCTCTTGATTAACTAATCAAATAATTGACTAGTTGCTTCAGTTCTTAAAGATATACACATGTAAAGTAGTCTCAGCACTTCAGTTTGCTGCTGCGATGGTGTTCAGATGAAACAGCCTTGTTTCCATCGTTTCTTATTCCCAGAGCTCCTACTGTTTAATTTTGGTACAGTTGTGAATATTTGTCTACCCGACACCAGGTGGAGCGTCTGCCCATTCTCATTGACAGCCCAAAGAAGCTGGATCATCAGCTCTCCTCAGACCCTGACAAAACTCCGGTCAGCAACGCAGCAAACACAGACTCTGAGCCAGAGGACATGAACCAGCCAGGTGAGACTGAAAGAATTTGACAAGTACAATAGGTTGTGTATCAGTTTGTGTATCAGTTTGTGGTGGTGTATGGCTCCATCTTTTTTTTTTTTACATAACTCCGTCAGTGGTGCTCTTATTTGTGGTTAATTAAATTTAATGTCAGTCCTTGTTTTCTGGATCATTTTCTTTGTTAAGCTTGTAATAAAATGTGTTCTGTCCATGCAAACTTTCCAAACTTAAAAAGACAAACAAAAGAACCAAAAAGAGTGCAGAGAATGTGCAAATCAGCTGTTAGAAAACTACACTTAAAACTTAAATCTAGGTCAATCCAGTACAACCGCCATGCCACATATTCTACCTCTGATGAAGCTTATAATGTTCTGTTTTAATACAACTGTATGTTTATTAATGAGGCTACAGTTAGTGGTGGTGTTTTACGAGACTGTATTATATTGAAATGTGTTTCTAATAACTGCTCATAGTCTCTCTGACCTGTCAATGAAAATGGACCATCATTTCCTTTGTAAAAGTAGGCTTCATGGCTAAGTTGTTGTAGTGGATTGCATTAGATTTCACAGGTGTATAAAGTGGCCACTGAGTGTATATGGAGTAAATATTTGATATTGTTAGCTAACTGCAGTCTGCAAAGTCATTGTTAACACGTTTGGTTTCACACTAAAGAACTACAGCTGCCTTCACATCAACAGTGAGACACATGCAGGAAGTGGCAAACTATCATCATCACCTTTTAAACACATGATCTTATCACTGTAAATAAATAAAGGGAAACAGAAAAATGTATTCAATGCAAATCAAAACACCAAAGTTTTGTTATTTTTAAATACCACTGATACATTCAAAAACTTGAAGGTTGATGAGTGTATCCTTGTTTGTATTTGGCTGCTTAATGAATGTGCCTCTGTAACACAGAAAGCAGTCGAGTACATAAAGATATGAATTACCCCTACACACTGGGCCTCAACCATCTCCCTGATATCTGGAGCAGATGTAGAAATGTCACTTGAATATTGTGTAATTAAACTCCCCATGATGGAGAGCAGAATTTGACGTGAATGTTTAGTGTGTGTCTCACGGTTCTACTGTTTCTCCTTCCACAGAAAAAGAACCAGAACCGAAGCTGACATGTGAATACTGCGGCTGGGTCGACTTTGCCTACACCTTCAAGGGCTCTAAAAGATTCTGCTCCGTGGTTTGTGCAAAAAGGCAAGTCCTATAAAACCTTTTGGTTTTATATTTTTCATTTTAACACTTTTTTGCTCCTCCTGTGAATAAAATCCCTGATAATGGACCTTTGTGAACAGGTACAATGTGGGCTGTACTAAGCGGATAGGCCTTTTCCGTCCAGAGAGGAGTAAACCAACAAATCGCTGGCGAAGAAGATCTCAGGGTCGCTCCAGTATAGAGGCTAAGAAGCAGGTACAGACGCACACATACACACATACACTCACACACACACACACACACACACACACACACACACACACACACACACACACACACACACACACACACACACACACACACCTTCACTGCTGGAAAACTTCCTCAACACCCATCACATTCTGCTTCCACTGCACATTTTATACCCTGCACTTTGCACGCCTCATGCTTTTTAATGAATTTAAGCATCATTTGTGTCAGTGCCTAATTATCTCCCTCTGTCTTTAAAGGGTCATTACGGGCTCTATGATCCTTGTCAGCCTTTATTGGTGACCAGCAAAAATGGGAAATAATTAGTAGAGATTTTCTGCCTTCTGCACATGTCACGTAAACATCCACAGCAATTGGATTTGTTATTTTTGCCACGCATCCAATAAACTTTGACACAGGACTTCTACATGCTTCCAGCAGCTCGTCCCCTAGCCTGAAGCCTGTAACGACACAACAAAGTTACATTAATTAGTTAAAATAATAAAAGAATAAATCTTAAGCAGTGATTTAATATAGCATAGTATTTAATACTGATTCATTTTGTCTCAGGAACAATCTTTCAATGTTTTAAAGCCAATATGTTTTTGAGAGTTGGGTCTGGAATCTCCATTGGGGGGTGCTTTTGTCTCATGTTTGGACCAATAAGTGAGTTTTATAATCTAGAGTGTTCAGCACCTGACAAAGTAATTACTGAGGCTTTGGTATCGACCCAACACCTCTATCAACTCCCTGTGGGTACATTACAATCGTTTGAAGCTATTTTACAGTATAAATCTCACGTGTTACCCCTGTAATCTTTGTTGTGACTAACACAATGCCCCAGTAGTGTTTTACTGATGAGCCATTCATTTCTCAAATGCCGAGCCTTGACGTCATACCTGAATGTTTCCCTTTTCAGAAGCTGTCCCCCTCACCACAGCAGACTCAGGGTGGCTCTGTATCCTCACCACATCCCTCACAGCCCAGTCAGGAAGAGTCCAGCCCGTGTTCGGACATGTCCAGCTACGAAGAGCCGCCGTCTCCCCTGTCAGCAGCCAGTTCAGGACCCCTGGCTCCTGCTCCGGCCCCAGCTCAGGTCCCTGTCCACAGGCAGCCAAGCAGGGCCTCGGACCAAGAGGGCTGCGCTGGGAGAGATGCACCTTCACTCTGTCACCGCTTTTTACCCAACGACCCTGCCAAGTGGAACGTGGAAGAAGTTTATGAGTTCATCCGTTCTCTGCCAGGTCAGTGGAGTAAACAGCAGCACCACCACCCCCGTTTATTCAGAAACACACTCATAAAGCTTTCCACACTGAACCGGCCAGTTTTACAGCTCTGTTTTGCTTATTAATCCAGTTTTACTATGATTAACTGCAGCCTGTACTTCTGTCTCCGCTGTTCGTGCAGGTTGTCAGGAGATAGCAGACGAGTTTCGGTCTCAGGAGATTGATGGACAGGCCTTGCTCCTGTTAAAAGAGGACCACCTCATGAGCACCATGAACATTAAACTGGGGCCTGCACTTAAGATCTTTGCACGCATCAACATGCTTAAAGACTCATAGCAGGAAAGTGTGTACGTGCATTGATCTGAGTGCATCTGTATTTGTGTGTGAGTGTGAGAGAGAGAGAGTGTGAGACAGAGAGAGAGAGTGTGAGACAGAGAGAGAGAGAGAGAGAGAAGAGCAGTGTGTAAAACCTTAGCACAGGGCAAAGGATGCATCATTGTAGCACTGACGGCATAGAGCACTGACTGTACTGTGACCTTGCCTTCTCTCCACTGGACTGGTTCCTTTGATACAGAATGTCACTGTAGCTGGACTTGACCCCACAGACTGCTCATATTCAACTGCATCAGCTCAATAACCATGTGATTTTTCTTTTTTTAACTTTGGCTCTTGGGACTGAAGCTGGTTTTACTAGTGGTGGCATGAGCACTTGAATCACACAGACCTGCAGTGTGATATAGAAGCTGTCTGTGTTCACATGCACTCATGGGAGTTAAGCAGTTTTTTACTAGTTAGAAACAATGTAGGCAGTGGACTGAAATGAAATCAGGAGACAGAGTGAGAGCTGTGCCAAATTCCAAAGTGTGGATTCTCGCATTAAATGAGGGAATATCTTTGACTGATGTGGCAGAACGGCCAATTTTTGTATCCGGATATCTGATCTCGATAAGAAACGTATTAATGCAGGTGCAAATGGTTGCAGAACACATTGCAATCACACTGCTATCAGTTCCACCAGACTAGATTTTGAGGTGGTCTGGCTCACATTGTGATCAGATCTCAGCCAGGAGTAAATGCCAACCAGTGTGAGAGAGAGAGATGGGACTGGAAATGAGGGGGGAAGAGAGAAAAGGGACAACATTCAACAAAGGAGGCTCAGGTTTATGGTCAGCACCTTAACCCAGAGGCCGCCAAGGTGCCCTGGTTGGCAGAGAAAAAGCAAGGTGAAAGATCACCTAACTAAGTTTCTTCTTGCTATCTCAAGTTGCCCGTCACAAAGCTACACACGACCCCTTCCTCTGGAAAGGAAAAGTAAGTAGAACGATGGAACAACAGCATTGCTCTCACGTGCCTTGCTGTATACCCATTTTGAATTGTAAGATCTGATCATGATGCAGGCAGAATTAAGATAAGAGCACATATTAACACAAGGTGTGGTTGCAGGCAGCGCCTAGAGGCCTTTATCAAATGTCATTAACCAGATAAGACATGTAAACACAGATTCCATGATAAAAGCAGGTGTAAATGTGGCAGTTCAGTTCAGTGGAGAACATAAGGCTGAAAGAAAGGGCTGTGCCAAAGTGTACTACCTGTTCAGTTGTGTCGAGGTTGGCTCATGCTGCAAAACAGTCGTTGCTAAACTGAGGCATTAAGACACACGAGTGAAGTCTGAATTTATTATTATATTATTAGATATGTCATTTGTACCGTTTCGTTAGCGTGTGAATGAGAGAGAAATTACTCTGTGTGTTGCTGGGAACAGAAGATTGCATTCATTAATTTGCTCATTTTTATTCAGTAGATGCTCCTTTGCCTTTTCTCACAATAAGACTCTCACCACTCTTGAATACAAAGCTTGAATGCAGAGAAACCGTCTAAGCAGCTTCTTTTGTGACATTGATTTTCCTTTCATGAGGAACTCGCCAGTTTTCTCCTGTAGATTTAAACTGCTTGCAAATGATTTTTTTCTCTTTTGCCGCTTTTTCAAAATGATTTACGAAAATGTGACATCGATGTCTTGTCTCAGTTTCATAGGACGCTAAATTATCCAAGGAGCAATTCAGGTATGCTGCGCTCTGCACAGCCCTGCTTTTGGCACTTATTTTCTTTTTCATTTGCTTTAATCTTATGAGACACCTAAAGTGAGAATGGCATTTGTGCAGTAATTCAAACAAGTTTATTTGTACATAGCAGCTCAAGTGAGGAAAGAGACTGACTGTAACTAAGTGTGAAACTGTCTTTTTTTTTTTTAAGTTATCCCTGTTATTTTAAAACAGAAATTTAATGGTGTTCAATATTTTGAAATATGCAAATATATAAATATCATGGCCTGAGAGTTGTTTTTTAAGGTTTCTTTTCTAATGAAAATATGATCATATCTATTTGTGTTTTGTGGCTGTGATGGAAGGTCAACTTTTTTAGATGATGCTTTGTTAAATGCTTGTATTTATCAAAACAGTTTGTTACACAACATTTTGCAATTATACATAATTTGCAGTACAGTTCTGTCTTGGGACATTTTTTGAGTGTGTCTGCGAGTAAAAAATATTTTTAAGTGTTTTTGGGACAGTCTTACATATTATGTTCATGTACGGATTAACAAAGCTAGGAGGTACCTGTATCCTCTCCTCCATTGATGATTTATTGAGATTGCAGTGGTGATATTCTGAAGGAAGTTTATTTTGGAGCTTTGGTGTTACTTTTTATATCCACCATTCACCTTCTGTATTTGTTATATCTCAGTGCCTTTTGGAAGACATTATTAGTTCCACATTTGTTGGTAACAACACTACAAAACCACAAAGATAATAAGTTGACAGTGTTATAAGATTGAAAGGATAATCTTTTTGCAAATTGTCAGATTTGAAAATCAAGAGCCATCAAATATTTGATTGTTTCCGTCACTGATCAAGCAAAAAATGCCAACGGTTTTGTCGTTTCAACACTAAAAATATCCAAATGAGCTGAACTTTATGGATCCTTCACAGTGAGATTAAAGTGTCACGGCATCAAAACAAAGTACAAAACTTAAAAAAAAAAAGCTTAACTAAAGGTACAATAACATTTCAAGACGGATATATGAAATGGGAGTATAGTAAATATCTGACTAAAAACTTAATAAAAAAAAAAATCCATAAATATTCAAACAAATTGTACAAACGTAAATTTTGTAATGTTTGTTGTAAAAATATTTTATTCAGACCAAAAATAAAATTTAAATTAATGAATCAGTTTTTAAAATTGTGAATACAAATCATCTGACAATTTTTACCACAATATTTCCTAAAGGAAGGGATGTCTTCAAAACTGTCTTGTTTTTAGAGAATAAAAAGAGAATAAGCAAGTGAAGTAACCTATTAAACTACTTGAATATGCATTTTAAGCAGTTATTTTAGAGGTACACACCATGCAAAAACACATAATCAGTAGTAGTTGTGCTCTGGGGTGATTTACTCATTGTGTTCACTTATTTTCACCCTCTGTTGGTTCTCGTTGGTATTAGAAATTCCTAGTTTGTAGAAAACAGGATACTTCCAGTTCACACATAATTGTCGGCTGTCTCGTACAAAGGACCATTTAAACAAATACACCGACCGTTTTCCCTTTTGTTTCCCGTTAAACACAATGGAGGATTTTTTGGGGGGAATAAACGGGGTACAGGTATGGTAAGTTTTGTTATTACGGTCGGAGGGGCGGAGATCAGCAGAAACATGCGGTACAAACACGCCCACTGTTTTGATTCAAGAACAGACGGAACCACGAGAAACTAGCGCCCTTTTCATCGATTTACGTGTAAATGTACAAAAGTCAGACGTCTAGTGTTTTTATACCCACAAATGATATGACGAACTTGTCGCGAAAACGGGCTTAAATCATGTGTAGAAACGTCAACAAAGTCTGTAATTTTTAGACTCCCCCGTAAATTCGTCGAGAATGGTATAGCCCGTGTTTAAACTTGACCGTTGGTGGTGTTGCTGTACGTGGATTTTAAACTGTAGGATGTTGCATTGTATCTTACGTTGAATGTAACATTTTAGTCCGTATCGTTTAATTTTTAATCCACTAGTAGATTAACCGAAATAACAACACCGGGTAAGTTGGGCTCTAAAATGTCATATTTTCACTACAGTGCACTTTTACGCTTCTTCGTAACTACTGTATTTTGTGTTTTTTAATCATATGACATATTTTTCATTAAAATGCGGTTAATTATATGACAGACCAGTGGTGGAGGAAATATTCAGATCCTTCATTTAAGTTCAAGTAGCATTATCACACTGTAACTCATAAGTCCCACAAATGAAAGTGTTTCCTAACTACATTTTATTAGTAAATAGATGCAATGGATTTTCATTATTGAAAGAAATATATCGATTAATCGTTTAGTCTCAAAATGTCAAGTGCGAAATGCATGATCACGATACTCAGGAAACATTCAAATGTTTTTCTTTTTTTGTTCTACCAACGGTCGAAAACCCAAATATATGCACTTTACTATGATATAAAATAGAGAAAAGCATAAAATTCTCACAAATAATACTCTGGCACCACAGTGTATTGGCATTTTATCTTGAAAAATGACTTTTGATTGATTATCAAAATGGTTGCTGATTATTTTTCTGTTATATATATATATATATATTATATATATATAATATATATATATATATATATATAATATTTTTTTTTTTCATTATGAATTAAGGTCTGGTGTATATTCTTGATCAGTACATCAACCCAAAGCACGCTGCACTTATCCAGAGCAAAGTGACACCACCAAATGTCTTGTTCTGTCCAACAGTCAACACTTCAAATTACTAGTAATTGTAAACAAGGAAAAGCGGTAAATGATCACTTTTGAGAGGATGAAACCATCAAGTACTCTGCATCTGTGTTTGAAAAATGAGTAAAATGATTAATGGATTATTGAAGTGACAACTGATTTTCTGTCAGTTGACTAATTGATTAATCAACCAAGGTGTGTTGAGTTGATTAGTTACAGCGCAATTTAAATGTTTAGACTGTTGCCGAAATGCCTAATGAAGGAGACAAAGCGGCTGATGATTCCCCCACTGACCTTCCCTGTCTGGAAAAGCTTGACTCTCCTACAGGTAAGGAGCTTTATTATAGCAGTTATTGTTTTCAGGCACGTTCAGGGACCATTAGTAATTGAATTATTACCACCATGGCAGTTTTAATTATCTGTGGGTGTGTGTGTCCTGTCTGTGGTGTCAGGGAGCCCACCCACTGCCTCATTATCCAGTCTGATGGAGCTGGAAAATTGTGTTTCCAACTTGAGCCTCGCACATGAGATAGTGGTGAACACAGACTTCTGCTTCAAACCGAAGAGTCCTCCTACAGACAGGCAAGAAAAGCTCTGAAGTGAAGTTGGTTATTCCTGTTTCCAAAAATTAATTGAGAGTTTAGTCTCTTTTTAAGTTGTTTTTCAACCATCTTTCTCTCTGCAGCCTGGAAGGCAGAGTGACGGAGATTGTTCACCGGGCATTTTGGGACAGTCTTCAGGAGCAGCTGAACAGCGATCCTCCAAACTACGATCATGCTGTCATTCTGCTGCAGGAGGTCAAGACTGTAAGTCAGGATATCTGCAAGTCACCAAAGTCTTCAAAAAGCACTGAATTCAGTTCCATCAAATATTTCTTATCATCATTATTATTGTTAGCCATAATGGTTACAAAGCCCATCAACTAATGGGCAGGTGTCAGTTTCAGCAAAAAGTTGAATTAATTCATATATTTATTCATTGAACAGGGGGAAAAGTCTACATTAGAGTTATTCATAGTGAAAATAGATACAAAATAAAAATAAAGCTGGTAATGATAAAACGTAGTATTGAAACAACTGAATATTTTCATTACTGATTAAGCTGTCGTACTGATAAACATGAAAGAATACACAAATTTAATTTTATTATTGATTAAAAGAATGCCTTGAGATTGAAAAAAAAAATCAGCCTATATCAGAGACAGAAATAAAAACATTTAATAAGAGCCTTTAAATCTGATAATTAAGAATTGTAATCAAGCTATCATAACATGAATATCTTTGACATTACTGTGCTGTACCTTTTTGGTTTTTACTTAAGTCTTCCTCAAAATTGTCAGTAAACTAATTATTTAGTTATATTAGTATTAAGTATTATTTATTAGTTTACTGACAATTTCATTCATCACCAATAACAACCAATCTCAGAATTAATTTGTGCACGACCAGTGGTTGTACATTTGAACAGTTCAGATAAAATACTAGGACTTTTTGCTTATTATTATTAAGGCAGTTCACAAAATATATAAAGCTAGGTGACAGCTGGTCCATTTCACCCATTAAGTCTAGTGACAGAAGAGTAAATGGAGATGAAGCAGTGACATGTGGCCAGTTTTATTTTGACACCTGCAGTGAAAATGCCGCCATAAAATCTTTTAAATATGCAGGTGCACCTATTAATAAGGATTAGATTATTAGACTGAACCGCTTTATACTGTATGTATGTGTGGAGGAAAAGAATAGACCTTGCAATAATCAGGGGACACAAGCTCACATGAACACATAAACCTTGAAGGATAAACAGAACTTTTCTAGATGTAAACTTCACTCAATGCAGCATTCATGTTTCCCATCAGATGCTTCAGTCCCTGCTGCTGCCCGGTCACGTCAGACTGAGATCTCAGCTGGATGAGGTCCTGGACATGGAGCTGATCCGGCAGGAGGTCGATCATGGAGCTCTGGACCTTCACAGGCTGGCAGGGTACATCATCAACACCATGGCGTCTCTGTGTGCACCGGTGCGTGACCCAGAGGTCAGAGCACTGAGAGATCTCAAGGACCCTGTGAAGCTCCTGAGGTGAGTAGAAGGATAATACCACCTTTACCGAATAAGCTGATGCCTGACATGGAATCAAGAAACCCAGGTTTTTGACCCTTATCAGACTTCTGTCATGTAATAATCCTTGTTTGCTGCATTTTAAACGAGCCCAGAGTCTGCAGCCAAATGAATTTCTGCAAGTGTCAATAATAAACAACATTGTTGTAATATATTTATACACTTGCTGAACAGAGTTTTAAACTTGCAAGTGTGGTTTAATGTAATTATTTGTAAATATGCTTTGGATTAAATACATTTTTTGTTAGTCTACCTGTTAATGTGATGGAGAGTTTGAGAAATTTCAAGTATATGCTCTACCTCAGGCAGAATAGAGAGCATGTCTAGTTGTGCATCTACTTTATACTTCGAGTTACGTCCACTGAAAACTAAATGTTGTCAAGCTTTTGCATTTGTTGCTCTTTTACTTGAACAGCCTCCCACAAAAACTCATATAAAGGGATTTATTCTTTAAAAAAATCATTCACAATTTTGTTATTTGGCTTTTTCTTGATTTTTCTAACATTTACTTTGTCGATTATACACTTATTTCTCTGTGCTCACATATTATCTTCTCTGTCGATTGCCCTCCATCTATCCCTTCTTCTGCACTCTCTCTGTTTCAACAAGTATATTATAAAGTTTGCTTGTTTGGTTACAGTTGTTTTTAGATAAAGCATCCCAATAAGTTTCACCTAAAGATGACACCTCGCTCTTCCCTCAGGGAGATCTTCCGTGTCTTGGGGCTGATGAAGACCGACATGGTAAACTTCACCATCCAGAGTTTGAGGCCTCACCTCCTGCAGCAGGCCGTGCAGTACGAGAGGGCCAAATTCCAGCAGATTCTGGACAAGCAGCCGGGTGAGTGTGAGGGACGTCACTCCAGTGTGTTTAAATCTCTAACCTGGCTGCTGCAGTATGACTGATAGATAGTAAAGGTGACTCTGTGAGTGTCAGATTTATGGTCATTGGTTGTTTCACTTTTCAATTAAACAAAATTTGACCCTCCTTGATCTAAAGCACCGTCCTACCATTGATCAGCTTCTCATAGAACGGGTGAGGAGCTGCACAGCCAGTCAGTGATGAACTCAGATATTATTCTGTGGAAGTAGAGCTGTCATTAGCTATGTGACAAGGCCCTCGATGCTGACATAGTCATGCTAGCTGGGGTTCCTTCATGAAAATGTCTGTTAATCATGTATTCCTGATTCTGTCCTCCAAAATACATTTTGTTAACAAATTAATTAATTTGGCTGAATACTGCTGCATGGAACAATTATTTTAATTATAAAATATTTTTGTTGGTGCTTGATTACTCGTTTGTTCTATAAAATGTCAGAAAGTAATGAAAAATGTTCCCAGAGCCTGAGGTGATGTCGTCAAACTGCAAATTTTGTGCAACCAACAGCAAATATTTACATTTGAGAAGCTGAAACCAGAGAAAAAAAAATACATAATTTTTTCTTTAGTTCAACTAATTGATTAATAAACTAATCAATTCAGCTGTAAAGTACAGTACTATTCTATGATTTCCTTTACTAACAGCTATAATTTAATCTTTGTAGCTGTAAGGAAATGAGAACATTATGTGCTGCAGTTAGAGTCAATCACAAATTATACACAATTTAACTGATTAATAGACACTTGAAGCCACTATTCACTATTTTCTGTTGAGGAAAACATGACTACTACATCGTCACCCTGGGGATCTGCGGTAATTCAATGACATTGCAGTTTCAATCTTGAGTATCATAGTTTTTATTCATATATAGTTTATGTCTCTGTAATTTTTCATTTTTCTTCAGCTTCTCTGGATAATACCACCGCTTGGCTTCAGACAGCAGCGTTAGAAGAGGCGTCGGCCATCAGAGCTCGGTCTGATTCTCCCGGTCCTGACAGCCGAGGTCCCGTCAGCGCCACCGCTGTCCTCAACCGGGCCTACATGCGTCTGCTACACTGGGAACCGCAGGACCAGAAATATCCCGAGGTCAGCTGCAGCCTGCAAAATTACATCACACTACGCCTTTCACTTGAGTGATATTTTATTGATTATCAGGGAATATTCAGGCTCCCTACGCACTCCTCCTCACCCTGCTGCATATTACAGCATGTGACAACACATTAGTGCTCATGTACTGATGTAGCAGTGGTTTCTCAACCTTTTTTGTCACAGGCACCCACACGGGCCAATCAGATGAAATCAAATACCCCCTCATCAACATCAGCCCTTGTGCTTCAAATTCATTTGAACTAATTTTAAACTGGCTCTAATTTGCCAAAATTAATTATATCAAAACAGATATTGTTTGCTTACAATAGCGTTCTCTCATTGAACTGTAAATGTTGAAGTTGGTTTGGTCAAGTGTGTACCCGTTATTTAATGGTTCAACTATTTATCCACTGGGCTACTTTTAGCTAACACTTTCACTTTTACTTTTTTTTTTTATCCATTTCTTTAAACTAAAAATCTAATAAAAAAAATTTTTAAAAAGTGCTTAGACCTTTCATCCATCACTTTTGGCGAAATAGCTTTCACAAACTCCCTCGCAACATGTGTTCAGTGTTACAGTTGACTCAATATATGGATTTTTTTCTACATAATTTTTCCCTTATTATTTGAACTGTCTACAGTCTTTCCACATATTTCCTGCCAACTGTACAACTACCCCACAGTTGGGAATTACTGGTGTAGATTATCCCAGATTGTCGTCTGTTGGATACAGCTGTTGGTTTTCTTTGGAGAGGCTCATATTTGTTCTGAAAATTCCCAGCGATTAACCATATGACATGTGACCCTGACATGACCTCCACACACAGACTGTGCTGATGGACCGAGCCCGCCTGGACGCCCTGGGCCAGCGGCTCCAGGTGCTGGTGCTGGAGGCATCCGTGCTGCTCCTGATCAACGCTCAGTGTGGGGGCGCCGTTTTCTCCCTGCAGGGGTTTGTAGGTAAACTCAGGCAGTCCGTCACTGCCCTGCTGGAGGGCAGTCACACCAGGTAAGAGGAGGATGTGGTGATGCATGTACTGGCTGTCAAGGGGAACAGGTATTGTTTGAGAAGGAAACCAATGGAGGTGACAGGAGGCAACTAGCTTGTCAGAACGGATCCAGATAACCTCATTCTTTCTGTTCACGTCATGATTAGTGCATAAATGTGGAACAGCAGCATGTGATAGCCGAGGTCTGTTCACACGCTGGTCCAAGCTGCAATAAAATGTAGGACAGGCTGTTTCTCCCTTAATCACCTTTATTAAAAGGTAATTTTATTTCATCTAAACCTCTCCAGAGACCTAGATGTTGTTAATGGCCCTTATTTATCACACTCAATGATTCCCAGAACTATTTGCTTATCAGTTCTTATAAATGGCCCTGTGACTTAATATAATACACATCTAATGAAACCTGCTAGTAATTTGTCTAATGCCGCTTTGTGATGCTACAGGGAAGCTGACCTGAGGGAGGCGCTGCTGGGGCTCGGGGAGACGGTACTGCAGCAGGTGAACGAAGCTCTGAGTGACCAGGGAGGAGCAGCGCTGCCTGAGGAGAGCCGGGACCTGCTGAAGGGACAAATATGTGACCTGTGGAAACAAAACAATCCCGTCCGCACACTCATAGGTCAGGACATGAGTCTAAGGGGCCGAGATATATGATTAACAGAAGCACTAAAGTATTTATACTTCAAAATAGTTGCAATAGATTCAGCTTCTGTTAATCAAATAATCAATTGTTTGTGCTCTAAAGCACAACTGGGAAAAATACTATACGCTCACATATTAATTTTTTTCAAGTATTTATTGTTTGATCCCATTTGAATGTAAAGTATAACAGAATTCAGATAAGCTCTGGTTGGTGGTTGTCATTTTTTGTTTAAGATGTGGATCAGAAAATTCAGACATTTCAGGGTGATTTAAAAAAAAAAAAAAAAAACTTGATACATTTTGATCCAGGACAGGTTGTATATTTTGATCTGTGCATCTTCACTCATTTCACGATTTTCACTCGACAGGAGAAACATGCATTATAATCTCATTTAGTGAGGGTCACCTCTGTCCACATAAATGTTTTTAAACTTGTATGTGTGCTGCAGCAAAAAGCTGACTTCTTTCCTTCTCGATCAAACGTAGGAGAAAGGGTACAGGGCTTCCTCCAGGCCATGCTGCAGGGCGGCCCCGCTAAAAGGAGTCCAGAGCTCCCCGTTCCCCTCAGGCTGGTGATTGCTGAGCTTGCCGAGCTGGGGACGGCCTTTGGGCGAATCGTCCACTTCAACCGAACGGTCTTTGGTCCTTTCTATGCTCCCATCCTCAGGAAACTGCTGTTCCCACCAGGAGAGGCAGAGGCCGGGGAGGACTCACGCTAGACTGAAGGCGACCCCGATGACCTCCGGTGACCTTAACATAAGCTGCCATGTGGCACTGAACATGTAGCTTTAGTGTAAATACAGTGAGGGAGAATGTTAAAGGGAAACCCAGTAGTGAGATGTCAAAATATAAAACACTTAGCTGCCAAAAAAGGCATCTAAATTAGAGCCGAGAGCATCTTTCTGTTAGCGGATTGATATTTCTGTCTCTTTTGCTTTACAAGAGACATTTATAGCCTCTCGAAAAGGAAATAAGTTTTTAATATTATTATATGAATTGTGAAGGTTATGAATTATTAATAGAGTGCATTTTAACAGCACAAAACATTAAGAAACAGTTTGTGTGAAAGGAAAGACAGGCGTAACAAATAGCTTGTTGTGTGTTAATGGGAAAATTCTGCAACAGGCAGATTTAGTCAAAACTAATTGCGAGTCTGAAATGATTTGTTGCCTGGAAAACATCTTTGTTTGGGTTTCGCACCGTTCACTCTCAAGATAAACACCCTCAGGAAAAACAAAGTACCAAAGAAAATATGCAAATAGTTTGTAAATAACACTGAAGTTGTAATATGTAGCTTGTTTCTTATCTTTATGTTAACAGATGTTTATGTATAATTTGCCAAAGACAGTATGCACTTTTTCCGATCTCAGTTGATGGTTGTTTTTGTTTATTTTTTCTTCTTTTAAATCCTTTGATCACAAACCAAAAATATACTGAATGTTTCCCCCACAGTAGGTGGTATTAGTGAGGGGTGGGAGTTTAAACAGATGCTTATTTGTAAATAAATTCCAAATTGATAAATTTTCAATTTTTCAGGCAGCCATTCAAACATTGCACATTAAGGTGTCACCGCTCACCTCGTTAAATGATGAGCAATGCTCTGGGAAAACCACCACTGGAAGCACTTAGAATGGGCAAAGCTAAACAAGCAATAATTTTTTTTATTACAATAACTAATCAGGCACAGACAACTGTTGTTTGGTGTATTACTTAAACTAAGTAACAATCTGTAATCCATTTGCTGTGCGGGAGATTGATATGAACAGTCTGCACTGCATCACAACACAGGAACTCTGACAGTTCTGCAGATGGGACGTTCACTGTGATGCATTATTTAACATAAGGAAATTCAAAGGTCAAGAGTTAACGCTCCTCAAGCAAGTTTTCAGTCAGCTAGCAAATTTTCATATTGTACAGAAATAAATACACACCAGTGGATACCTGGAATAGCAGCCAAAATACAAAACACTTTCTAAAATGTTGTGTAATTTGGAGAATGGTTAGCACAAGGGACTTGTATTAATTTGTATCAATTAAATGATATCATCCTCAACTTTCACAGAGCTAAGAATTTTCTCAAAGATGAATGACTGCCGATCTTTTGAAAGGTCTTTCAACACTTCCTGCTGTTTTGAAGACATTTCCAGGATCTTCAAAGACTCTTCTAACCCAAATGAATAAAAAAAAATAAAAAGCCTACTGCACCATTTAAAAAAAAAAATAATAAAAATTTTAACCCGTTTCCCCATATCGCTCAACTCAATTAGTAATTCAGGTATCATATCTCTACAGATATACCACCTGCAGAATTGTGTGTAAAAACATAATACAATTGACAGAAACTGATATATAACGATGTGACTTTTTTACACATCGTACAAATCAAGCAAGGACATGTCCTGCTACTGTTTTTCTTTGGTTTAGGAGAGCCATAATTTGGGGAAATGGGTTGAAAATCTATATTTAATCATGCAACAATGTTTTTTGGGTTTTTTTTGTCCAGATGGTTAGAAGAGATTGTGAAGATACTGGCAATACCATCAACAGTGTGATAAAGATCGCCAGGCACCCGACTTCAGAAAATTCGATGCTTAGCTCTTGTGACTTGAATGTAACATAATACATGAGGCACAAACCTGGACTGATTGTTTAAAAAGTTTTACCACCCACTAATCTCTATTGTAGGGGAAACACTGATAATGTAATTTTACAATAATTATCATGTTGTTATAATTGTCACTTTAAATTTTAAAACAGCTGGTGTAATGTTTGTTTATCTTTTATTACCCAACCATTAAACAAAATCAATGCTGAAAACAGACTTGAGAGGGATTCTTTTGTCATTGTATTATTTAATTTCATTAATATAATATTGCTTTGAAATTTTAAACAGTATCACATTTTCATTGACAAACCATACTCTGTCCACAAACATGGGCAAAGCATTGTATGCTGGTACAGTTTTTTTTTTTCTCTACATTTTGTTACATTTCTCTTTATCCTTTAATAATCCCCACAGTTACTATCTCCAATAGACCTGAATCAATAGAAATGCTCATTAATGGTCTATATCATTAATGGTCTACAGTGCTCTAAACATTACAGTACCTACATGACAAGATCAGAAAGTCACATGGAGGCCAGGAATTAGACTTGACCTTTCTGACTGACCTTTCTCAAGACAGGAGTGAAACCCCAGTCCTGTTTAGCCAGTGATGTGGGACAACAGGTTACCTTTTGTCAGTGTGTTGGGATTCATTTCAGGGGCAGTGGAGGAGCAGGGGATATACAGAGTGAGATCTAAATGTCAGAGTAGCGCTTGTTGGCCCTGCACGTTGCGTAAGGCTTACCTCTCATTTTCTCTCTCTATCTCTTTTCCACTGCTCTGCCCACTAACTCAACACACGCAAAACACACTCACATCGGCTGCTCCCCTTCAACTCACAGCTTGGTATCCGGAAACTTGAACGCTGGGGTGAGCTACACAAGGAAAACACCAATGTTAAAAAGACTGGTACATGCACAGCCATAACATGCCACCAAAACTTGCTTTAAATAGCTGCTGCTCATTAAAGTGTAATGCTTTTATATTATGCATCCATACTAGAGCAGGTTGTCTTGGTGACACACAAAATGGAAGAACATACGTGACAAAAATGTTGGAGGAGTGACGACAATGGAAACATGGAGGAAGGATGAAGATGAATCGCTGTATTGGTGTGTAACAAAGAGCGGGAACATAAAAAGCAAATGGCAGATGAGTGAGAGGAGACGAGACACTGCTACAGTACACACAACGACTGCTCAGGCCAAGTGCATCAAAGGGTACAAAACACAAAAAACACTGCCAACATGCATCGTCAGTGGAAGCTAACAATTAACAGTCAGAACAGAGTGGCAATGACACAGCCACGGTACCGCACACAGACCGGTTACATCTTAACAGTCAGTCTCCAGACACACCGTCTTCTGGAGAGGAGCTCAAAACCTCACGTCTCCTGCAGCAGCACACACAAACAAGGACAGTGGCCAGTGATGTAACGGTAACAGTCCACACTCCCATGAGGACAGACAAACAAGGCATACAGCACGCACAGCAGGTAGTGCACACAGAGGAGAACCCACAGATATGTGTCGACTCCACAAAGAGCATTTCTGAGTCACAGTGCAGGAAGGAGGAAAATTCTTTAAAAAAAAAAAGTGTCACGTTCTCAGCATAACAAATCCATTCGCATTAACATCACACCAGAGCAACATTTAGGCTTGGCTCTTTTAATGTAGTGGAATTAAATCTTTTCACTGCCGTTTATTTTCAAGTGACATACTTTGCGTGTAGTGTACCTAATTCTAAATTGGTGTGAAACAGCATGGATACCTACCCATGTAATCATGATAATAAGATGCTATGTTGGGAAATGTGCGCCAAATTGTGCTCAGGGCTCATTAATATACTCGAGTTAAATTAAATCTTGTTGAGGATGTTTTCGTTTAAATTACCAAAATTGTGACATGTGGAACCAATGTCAACACACTCCATATGCATGTTTTATTTTATTTTTTTGGTAGTATTCTTTTTGTTTTTTGCCTCTGGTTGTATTAATGTCGGGATCCCTTCATAATCCCTTCTTACTCATTCTGTCCCAAAGTATTTCAGTCAGCCCCCGTCTATCAAAAAGTATCACAAAATGCACTAATGTCCTATATGCACCGTAAGAAAAAGAAAAGAAGGTATTAAAAGGGATAGTGCCATGTTTTAACACAGTGTTTTTTTTTTTGGTTTTTTTGTCCGTTTTTTTTTTTTTTTCTTTTAAATTGACAAGAAGAAGATGCTGTGATTTGCAGTCTCTCGGTGCTACCATGAATGCTGAGAGGCACAGGGCAGTACAAGGCCAGAGCAAAGACTCTCATCTGGACAAAACTGTACCATCAAAAGAACAACGTCATCCCAGCCAGTCACAGTCAATTTAATACACCAGGAAATTAGAAGTGTTGTCTATTTTTTTTTTAGTCTTTTAGAAGCAGGGGAAGGCGTGCAGTTGTTGGATGGTGGTGGTGTTCAGGGAGGTTGAGGGAAAGGTGGGAAGGAGGGGGGAGGGGGGGGCTTTAATTGATTATAGATATCCCGAAATGAAGTAAGGCTGTTGTCCTCGGTAAAGTGTAGGAAACTTGTCCTCCTGTGTGTGTTTTTGTACGAGGGTTCAGTAGTTCTTGGTCCGTTTGAGTTCAGACATCAGTGATAGATTCATGAACCATCCATCGTGTTGATATTATGGGTATTGTACAAATGCGTAGAAAAAAAAAAAAAAACAGGTTGTTTGCTGCATGTTGCTGTTTTGTCTTTCATTGATTAATTGTCCGTCTTGCATCCCATGCTAGCAAAGCAGCCTCCTCATAGTGCCTCACAGTGGTAGATGCCTGGTAAGACAGGACAGGCTACAGATGGAGAAAGAAAAAAAATAACTGTCTTGAGGCAAAACAATCAAATAAGACAATGAATTAAAAATAAAAATAAATACGGAAAAAAAAACCCAAAAAACGTATCATTCTCTTATTTTTACAGATTTGGAGTTTAAGTCTTCTGTCTGTGAGATATCAAAGGGTCCTGTTAAAGGAACGTTTACATTTTGAGGAAAACACTTATTTGCTTTCTTGCCTAGAGTTAGATGATCTTAAATTGGTGCCATATATGTAAAACAACCATTAGCAGCTGGCTAACTTGATTTGTACAAACACTGGAAACGGGTGGGAACAGCCTGGCTCTGTTGAAGGTACCAAAATCCCCCTATCACGCCCCTTACGCTCAATAATTAGCATGTATCACATTTGTTTCATACTGTTTTACAGGAGGTTTTGTAGTCTCAACTCTTCATCAGTTTTTAACAAATAGCTCGAAACAGAAAGAATAATGAAGATGCAACCTCTGGGATCTATGAGGGACCCACAGTCAGTGATTTGTTATTTTCACACTTCGGTTTTTGTTTGGATAAAACAAACGAGAGAGAACATGTTAGTGAGTTTTAGAGGTGCCGGAAGGTGGTTTTGTTACCTTTGGACAGAAACCAGGGAAGCCGTTTCCCCCCGTCTCCAGTCTTTTTGCTAGGCTGTTGGCTGTAGCTTTATATTTGCTGTACGGACTTGACACTGGTATCGATCTTTCCAATAACTCTCTGCAACAAAGCAAATAAGCGCATTTCCCAAAATGTCAAACTTTTTCTTTAACAGTTTGACTCACTGGCCCCTTTGGTATGACAAATAAAACCTTGTAATTTACTCAATATTATAAACTTAACCTTTCTTAAAACTCTTAAACTTGCTGTTGTGTCAAGCCAATGAAGAAACTAGATACAGAGCAAAATAAAAATGATCATGCTTGTTTTGCCTGTTTAGAATCTTTTCTTTTCTTTTTTAAAAAATGGCCTGAAAGAGGAAGAATAATAAAGATGCAACCTCTGGGAGCTATCGGGGATTTGGAGGCAGATGCAAGTTGTCAGGAAGAGGAGGATGAGGAGGAAGAGGCAGTTTGGTTGAGAGAGCAGGGCCACTGTAAAATGAGATCAGTCCAGGATCATCCGTTCCAGGGCTCCACCATTGGCTGCAGCAGCAACGGGCGAGGGAGGCTGCCAGGGGTGTTGGGGAGGCACGGGAGAGCTGCAGGAGTGTTTGTCATGGCGGGTAGGAGGTTGGTGTGGGTCGCTGGGTCGGGGCAAAGGAGGGTGCAGGAGTAGGCAGCCCTGAGGGGTGCTATACCATCACAGTGAGAAGGCACGGGGCTCGCATGTATGTGTATGTGTGTGCATGTATGTGTATGTGTGTGTGTGTATATATATGTATGTGTGCGTGTGTGTGCGTGTGTGTGTGTGTGTGTGTATGTATGTATGTATGTGTGTGTGTGTGTGTGTGTGCATGTGTGTGTATGTGTGAGAGAGAGATAAATGGAGAACCGGATGCAGAGGAAGAGGAAAGTACGAGGGGGGTGCAGAGGGGCGGCTGTGGGGATCCGGCCTCAGAATATGGTGGTCTCGTACTTGGTGCTGACGGGGCGCCGGTTGGAGTCCCGCTGGTCCAAGAGCCAGGTGGTGCTGCCCAGGGACTGCATGTCTGCGTCCATCTCCAGGGGGTCGATCTGCCGGGGGGAGGGAGGGAGGAGGGACGAGAGGAGGGCGTGAGACGGGCGGCAGGGGAGGCCATTGTGCCACACTGACAAGTCCTCAGCTCACACACGTGCATGTGGATTAGAGGTAAAGTCCAGTGATCATGTTATAATCACAGACACTCGGGGCTCAATCCACAACATGGATGATGTCTGACAGAAAATACACTCAGCCTGTGTAAGCCGCAGCAGTAAACCAAAGCTACGATCCTCTGGGAGTTTAAAGATATACTGATTAGTAGTTCAAAAGCAACACATGCTCTACACCAGTGGCTAGAGTCATAACATGAGCAGTCAATACACACCGTTCTACATATGTTATGCTGTTTCATTTATTTAAGAGTTACATATGAATTTGAAATAGCTAAAAAAAAACTCAAGGTGAAAATGTTATATTCCCTCCTTATAGATGACACCTTCAGTTCAAATATGTCTTAAAAAGATAGAGTATACAACAAAAGAGAAAGGAAGCTTGAAACCATCCAACAAAGACCACTTCAACCATCTTGTTTATGACCACTATGGAATAAACCCTCACTGGCTCAATTTAGCCAACAGTCCTCGTATAGAGAAGGTGAATCACATCGAGAAACCTTCTCTTCCCTGAATGTGTTTAACCACAGAACTTAAACTAACTGCATCTTAAAATTTATAAATGTAAGATGACGATGAACGATGGGAAAGTAAAGGGATGAGGAGAACGTTTATGGTTGAAATATTAAGAACCACGAAACAAGGAGACAAAGTGCACTGCAGCACCCGAACAACAAGAAAAAGAAAGAGGGGAGGGAGTGGTGTGTAAGCAGATGTGTGATGATTAAGGGTTGAATAGAGGAAAGGAAAGAGAAGGACCTGGACTCCAGGGCTAACAGAGTGCAACGGGAGGAAGGAAGGACGGTGGGTAGTACACGTGTGACAGTGACAGCAGCGGCATTCGAGCAGAGGGGCACCCTGGGAAGCAGGAGGACCAAGAAGACAAGAACAAAGACATGTTAAAAAAAACGAGAGAAAATAGGGATAGAGCATTTAAATGCACGAAAGGACAATGAAGAAGTCCAGCAGCAACAGTGGGAGCTTTTCATCACCTGTTCAGAGTTACAGAAGAAAAATTATTCTACTTCTTGTGTTCTTGTAATTAACCGTTGCTAAACCCCGCCCCAAACAGTGATTGTGCAATTATAGCTTAGCAACCGTAACTAGGCATGGCAGGCCTGTCAAGCTTTGGATCACATATTGAGGTGATCTGCATGTGGCTCTAATAGGGATGGAGATTTGGAAGATTCCCTCTTTAAAACACCAAAAACACAAGAGCAAAAGTGAGAGGAATGGATTAAACAGTGTGTTTATCCACTCTAACAGAAGCTTGTCCGGCTAACTTACTTAGAACCTACAGTATTAGTAACCCAGTGTCTCTTCCAAGGAGCACAGTATTAGGTGACTGCTTCATGAGGTTACACCTTGCATTTTTAAAAGCCCTGTTCACAACTAGCACATCCACTGTGCAAGCCCATTCTGGATGCGAATGTGCAGGCTAATATTAGTGATTATGTCCTATTGAAAATTAGCAATAGCTATAAACTCTCTGTGCAACACATCGGTTTCATGATTTGTATCGGAACTACGTTAAATTGCATTGTCCCTATTAAATAAATAATCATCCCAGCAAACCCAGGCAAAGTTAGCTGCATTACCTTTGTCAGATCCTTTGGATTAGTCCTCATCATAACACCTTCCTCTTGCCATGTTAAAAACATTGTTAGAAAATAAAAACAAGTATTTAAACTAAGCAGTCAAACATGGTTATGTATAACATAATAAAAAATGAATAAAATACTTATCCTTTTAATACTAGGTTTAATTAGCTTTGCAAAAAGAATGTAGTTTCTTTATTTCCATGCTGACTTTTGCCTGGGACATGTTGGCTCTAGGCTCAGTCTTTTAGCACAATATCATCATATGTAGCCACCAAGAGCACCAAGACTTTTATATCTTTGCTTGAAAACAAGTTAACAATATTAAAAACATTGACCCAGCCTTTTCAACAAACCCGTGGGGCCAATGTTGGCCAGTTGGCTAGTTAGATAGTGAGCTACGACTGATAGAAACTGCTAGCGGCAGTTGTCATTTCAGTCAAAAAAAACTGTTGGGTTTTGTCAGTGGCTCAAAATGAGAAGTCTGTCTGACTACATCTGCCTGACATCAAAGACCCTTTCTTCAAACATTTCCGAGAATCTTGAGCCAAAAATCTGCCATCATTATCACTGTAAACTGCATTTGTTCAGAAAATAGCAAGAATGCAAAGTTTGACAGGTGTAGTGACTTTAAGTGAGGGGGTGGGGCTTAGTGAACAGACAGTCGCTCCTTGGGGAAACATTTGGAAAAACTGTGGCTGTAACAGTTTCTGTTTTAACCAAGTACATTTGGTAGCATTCACAAAGCAATAAAAAGCATTAAAACAAATTGCAGCAGATAGGAGTCTCCCCCTTTCTCATCTAAAACTTTAACAGCCAGCCACATTCATTATGCAGCTCTGTGATTACTCCATATATTATCCTTACAGGCAGGTAGTAAAACAAAGTGATTTGTGACTCTGCATACGCATGTGGCCCAGCGGTGTGCGTGCTCTCGGCTGTGCTGCTCTCTCAGGTGACAGTGATAGCTGAATGCTCATTATACGCAGCCTGAGAGGTCAATGCATCAATGCGTAGCTCAGGGTATACGTGAACATTTACGCAACACACACACTCATTCACTGGTGAGCAAGCAGCGGATGGGTCCAACCAGCGCGGCTGAGCCCTGAGAAAAGTCCCAGAGGAAATCATAGGCCTGCCTGTAAGCAACAAATAAAACTATTCATTCATCATGTTTCCCATATGCACAAGAAGAAAATCTCCTTTGATCGGAGTGACTCACAGGGTTCGGGTTTGGGCAAGATGAAATTGGTAGCAAAGTAATGACTCATCACTTTCTACCACACACACAGCAAATCTTCCTTTGTAGGTGGCCCATTGGGCATTCAGCGGAAAAAGTCGGTCACGAGGTCTGTGTACCTTTTCTGTATTATGATTGCACAACGCCATGTTTCTGCTTTCCCTCTGTCCTTTTAACAAGTAGAGCAAATTCAACACACTCACAGATAAACACTTTCACTGTTTGTTTTTTGTTTTTTTTTAGGGTTTGTAGGGTGGTACTCACTGCTGATCTCCGCATGCTGCTCCACGACTGAGATACGGGACGGCTGGTTTTGGTCTCTATGACCTCTGAGCCCAGAGATGAAGGGGGCACATATTGTCTTGCCCTGGACTGGATCGCCATCTGATAGGCCACCTCAAACGCCTGTCCCAGTGTTAGGATGATCTCGTAGGTCTGTGTCTGTGTGAATGAAAAGAATTGTTTTAATATCTTCAAGTCAGTAGACACAGAATATAAAGTGAAGTCATGGTATTAAAAAACTGAAAGTCTAACAGCATTTTTACAACAGATTTTAACTGAATTCACATTAACCTTTAGAGACACAGTATATGGACCCTTTGTGTCCATGACAAACTGTTTAGATTCCTAAATGAATCTTCAGGTAAAGCCTGTTTTCAAAAAAGGTGACTCAACTTTTTGTTTTAGTGGTGGAGAACGATTCAACCAAGTAGATTATACTATCAAAATCTACTGTATCTTTTATAATATCCTAATGACCTCTGATTCCTTTTCAATATTTTATACTTTCAATATTTTTTTATACTAAAATTTACAATTTTTTAGGCTTGTAAAAGCTTGTTTTGACATTACATACCACACAAAAGCTTTGCTCTTCCCATTGTTGGGATAATTACTAATTATCCCCTGGCTCTTGGTTGAAATACAAACACATTTTCAGAGAAAAGCAAAAGCTATTTTTGCACAACATGCTGCACATGAAGTGACTGTGTTAAGTGAGGCTTAAAATTTATGTTTTGGCCTTGTGAAAACTGATTGTTACTGTTACAGTTGGCTCCACAGTGATCCATACGTCAAAGATGAAAGATTGTTATCAACCTTTATAGGGGCTGAGAATTAGAACACAATCAGTGCGATAACATGGAAATGCCATGCATAGTGGGAGTGGCATTTAAATTAAGCCATTTGATGAGCCAAATCAAGAAAATCATGTCTATTGGAAGCTGATTGCACTTTTAACTGCGGGATTCCTGGCATCCCACAAAGGACACTTTGTTTTTCCAACTTGATTCATTGGTTGTTCACAGTAAATGATATTTCTATTACATTAATCAAAAAACACAAGAAAAGGTGTTTGTTCTGATCATGTTTTCTTGTTTTTAACAGTGTAGAAATGTATTACTCACCACTTCCACAGTGCTGAAGACATGACAGAAGTGGTGGCCACTCTTCAGATCCTTGGTAATGTAAGCAAAAGTGCAGAGGTCATCTGGGTCTTGGGCAGCACATGAGATGTTTCTGATCTCATGCTCCGCAACTATAGTCTAAAGGAGAAAGGAAGGAAGTGAGTGCTAACTGGAAGTCAGCCACTAATGGAGGCTGTAAGAGTCAACTGGAACGTTTGGGTTGGACAGATCAATAAACACCGACAAACACACACACGCGCTTTCCCATTACCTTCGTGGCTGCATCAATGAACTTGACCCCTCTGTAGGTAATGGACAGTATGACAACTGGACCCTTTCTCGAATCCTTTGATTTCTAGAATGGACACATTAAATAAAGTGAGAGGAGAGTACATGTAGTACAACAGAACAGTGGTTCATGCACTATAAATGTGATTGTGATAAAAGTGATTGAGTGACAGGTTCTTTACAGTTATTTCATGTCTGACATTATCATTGTTTATTTGCTGCTCTTTATTAATCGGTGCAAATGAAATAATAAGAGAAAAAAAGATCCTTAAAAATTTTCAGTGATATTTACCCTAATTTTAGCGCAGGCATCTTGTGTGGACTCGATCCCTCGTAGATCCCTGATTATCATTGATCCTAGGTACTGGGAGAAAAAAAACACACCAGGATTGGGTCAATTTACATTTACAATAATATCCTAGACTTTATGGAAAACAGTAGACAAACTGTTCTATTTTGTAATACTGTCACCTACGTTGGATATAGTGTAATGTAAAGAGGGTAAAACGAGACTTACAGTTGCCTCGTACCCGCAGGAGTCCAGGATGAGTTTCTCAGGCTGGTGATGCCAGGCGGACACTGTGGCGTAGGTAGCAGAGTGGCTGGGTGGCCGGAGGTTTAAACGAGACTCTTTGTGTCGCTCACTCTGTCTGTCCTGCAGAGATGTAAAATCATTGGTTGCTGAACATAGTGAAAAGGAAAGACACAACAAGCGCCAGTAACATGAAACAAATTCATTTCTTCTATAAGACTGTGGGAGACCACTGCTTTGGTTGTGTCAGTGTCACCTTTACATCACAGATCCACATCTCATTCATCTCAGACAATAAAGAGTGATTACACAAAGTATATTTTGCATTACAATAGAAGTGACAAGCAGATTCCTTCAGTCACACATGTAATCACACTGACCCCAAATACAAATTTATATCTCAGTCAAGCTGTATAAGTAAAAGACCTCTGACTGCTATACATTAGTGTGAAGGCAACTGAAGTCTGCCTGGTCAGCACTTTAATACAAGTCCTTTCTGATCTGTTGGTATACTCATAAATATTCATGCTCTGGGTTGGGCTGTGAGGTCAATGTAGGCTGTGCTCAGCTCTTTCATAAATCACTTGTCAGAGTAAAATATACTGATGACAGTAGTTCAGTAAGCATTTAGGAAAAAAATAAATATTGATTTTATATATCATGGACCCTGGGTAGTGCAGTCACACAAGATTTCCCTTATAGATGCTCCTCTGTGTTTTCTCTTTGGCCTCAGTGAGTCAGAGACCAGGCATTGCCAGCTTGACTGTTTGTGCATGTGTCGTAGTTTGACCTTTAGCAAATGGTACAATTTGATCACGGAGTTATTCTTAGTTCATTCTCTTAAAGAGGTACTGAAAAAAATTAGGTTGGCACATAAGAACTGAATTCATATCAGCGAGAGAAGACTGTAGTTTATAAATTAAGATATTAAAGAGATAGCTAACACGGTATGAATGAAAAATCGCTGGCCATACACAAATACATACCGACTCACTGTATGTAGTGTCACATCACTCATCAGTAATTACTCCTTTGCCATTTTCCCTACACACAGTCTAATGTTGTGTGAGTTGAGTGTGAAAGTGAATTTTCCTGAAGTTGATAAAAGTGAAATGAGGAACTCACTACAGAGCGCGGCCTCTCACTATAAGACCGCAGAGATACACTACAGTCTTGGTCGCCTCCTCTCCGCCTCCGGTCTGACTCAGTCAGGGGCAGGAGCATGTCCATGGAGCGACTGGTGTAGGGGTCCATCTGACTGAGGGGAGACGTGGTCTGGGACAGGAGGTCATGAAACTGCCAAACACACACAGTCACACAAAAGCGCACAAACACATCACAGACACAGCACAGATTAATGATTTGACAGAACTGTCTACATGGGCTGGTTTCACTGATCTACATCCAAGCTTAATCCTCAACAAAAGAGCCTCTTCCATGGAGATTCTCCATTCTTTTTAGCCCACTTTAATCTGCCTGGGAAATCAGCCCTGAGTATTTAACTGTTGTGAACATAATGATATTGAAGAATCTCATTCCAAAATTAGAAATCCGCTGCAGAAAGAAAAGGATCCATTTTCTCACAAAATGATGTTGGCATAGAAATACGGCTTGCCATGTGACGCTGTTTAACTTCCACCGTAAGCTCTGTTTTAATTGTTGTTCAGTAAAAAAAAGTAACAGGGTGTTATCATCGATCTCTATTGAAATATTGAGCACTTTCACATTTTTGAAAGCATTTAAAAAAAAAAAAAAAAAAAAAAAAAAAAAAAAAAAGTATTTCTTACAAATATGGGTTATACTGACGGCATATGCAGAACTACCCTTCTATCTAATTGGGAATATTGAGCATACCCAATATATTAACATTAACATTGCTGCAGTCTGATTCACACGTGTTGCTGTGAAGTGCTTTATACAAAAACATACTTCTTAGATTGTGCTTCATTTTTGTGCATTCTAGATAGACTTGACACCAAATCAGTGTCATAATGAACATGGTTTTCCACAGACCTTTTCAATACCACATAGAAGGCAATTTAGTAACTGTGTCACAGTCATATGAACCAACTATATATAGGAATCATTTCTAATAATACCATTAATTAATAATTTAACACAACCTGAACCTTGATAAGTAGCAGTAAATGGATGGATTTAGGTATGCAAATCTGACCGTTATTTTTTCGATTAATTACTTGGTCTATATAATGTCAGAAAACAGTGACAGATGCAAATTTCCAAGAGTCTAATGTTATATCTTCAGATGGCTTGTTTTGTCCCAAAGATATTCTGTTTATTATATGACAAAGAAAAGCAACAAATTCTCACATCTGAGAAGCTACAGCCAAAGAAAGTTTGTCATTTTTGCTCAAATGTGGCTAAAACAATCATTCCATTACCAAAATAGCTGCAGATTAATTAGATAAACTAATCAATTAATTAACTAATTAACAATCAATTGCATCTCTAGATGGATTACGCAATAAAAAAAAATAAAAATAAAAATAAAAAAAAAACATTATTTAAGGTCCGTATTTGAATTTTACATAACATCAGGTATAGAATAATGGTAATAATAGTTCAAAAACATTTTATAACTTACTTACATTACTGCTTTTAGGAAATAGAGATTGAAGAGCTAATAAATGTGAACTGTCGTAATCATCAGTCTTACCATAATTGGGGACAGACGACGGGACTTAGTTGGAGCCTCTTCATAGGGTCTCTCTGCTAGAGAAGCAATGATCCTCTTTCTGTGGCCCAGGGGACCAATCTTAATAACCTGGAGAGGACAGCATCAAGGCACAATATGAAGCAGACTTTCCAGTGCACTGTGACATCAATATCTCATACACAAGAATTTTTCTAGACTAAGCTAATAGAGATATATCCAAAATACACTGACACAGAGTTGGTGGCATGCACCCCTCACTGGCAGGCATCCACAGGCAAACAGAAATGACTCTCGTCAATAATTCAGCCTCAATCTGTTTTGCCGTAAGCTTAAAGTACAGCACTGTCTTCATCCAGGGACACTCTATAATTCACAATCCATTTTTGGGCATAGTGCTTAAATAACACAGAACTTTGTGATTTATAGCATGACAACAGGTAATATGCAAATAAGCAAGTGATTTGCTGATAGCTATATGACACAGATCCACTTAATTTGTCACTATTTAAACATGTTATTCATTTACAATGCTTTATTGTAGTATTGCAAGTTCACCAGCCACACATTGATCCACGGTATCTGTCTCTTTAAACCTTTTACAAATGCCATTTCAACTGGTCTGGCTAAAATCCTCAGAGGAAGAAAACGTAGGTTATGTAGTCAAAATTCATTATCTCAATATGGTATATTTGCATAATTGGCTATTAACATTCATGCTCATTCATTAAAAGGTGGATGTGGAGTGATTAATGTTACATTTGCAATTATGTTGCTGGTAAAAAAAATATTCCATAACAGGCTCATATGGATTTATTCAGGGAGAGTGAGAGGCAAAAGAAGCAACTGGTTTGTGCTCTGGATTTCTGGTGCTGTTTTTGTTGTTGTCATGTACAGAATTTCCAGTGACACCAGTATACACAAAGTGTGTGAAATAAGATCATTCAAACAGTAATAACAAGCCTTGGGATTGTATGGGAATGTATCACATCTCATAAATCATCGTGATGTTTGATGCTATTTGCTGAAAGATGCTGAAGAGAACGTAGGAAATGTAATGGGCAAAGTAAATTCTGCCAAGATGCTCAGAGGCAGTTCTGCTACTCTGCACACTGAAAGTAATGTGCCCTGCACTCACACCCTTCTTTCTGTACTGCATCGCAGTCTGCTGGACACCATCCCTCAAACACTGCATATACAGTATGTTTGGCTGCTGCTTTCCGCAGCTGCTGATTCTACTGCAGCTGTTGCGAGTTTCTGCATTTTTGCCGCTACTGTCTTTGTGTTGATCACAACCAGCGATACACGGAAATGTAGGTGTAAGTGGGAGAAAAATATGAGCGTTGTAAACATACTCATCCACTGCTCCTACATGCAGTCTGCGATTTCTTATCAGCTGTATAAGATGGTCTGTTTAGATCATCTGGCTCCCTGTCATCGCTTAAACAATGCTACTTCCTACATAACAGGTGGTTGTCACTGAAACTAATTCAAGATAATCTGGTAGCATGCCGACAAGTGTGCTGTTAAGTAGTGTTTAACATTATTTCACTACAAATTCAGTTGGCACCACACAATGTAAATAAAAGCAGTGTAAAGGGTTAGTCAATGCAAAATATCGTACTGATGTCTTTAAAGTTTCTGTAGCTCACAACCATCTTAGCTTGAGACTCTCAATAAGAGAACAATGACTATTTACACCCCCTCATCACAGGCTGTAAAGGTTCAACCAAACAGTGATTTTTCTCTCTCATGTTGGTTCATATGAATCATTTTTAGAAGCCAGGAAAAATAATAAATCCAGTATTTTACAAGAAATTAAAGACTAGAGAAAAGTCAAGAGAAAAAACTGTAGCAGAAGATAATGTTTTTTGCTCTTTCCTGTCCTGTTAACCATCAGATTTATCTACACACACACACACACAAACTCTTGTACACATGTTCAACCCAACTGATACATGCATTTTTCTATAACCTCCAACAGCTTTTAACCCAAAACAAAAAAAATTGTCCTCCTTTGTAATTAAAAATTATCATAAAATGTTACACTATTTCGATAAAGATTAAACCAAATTACATACTTCCCTGTCATTATTCACCACATTGCTATTTAATTTCCATTTTATCTGTTCTGTATCTACTAATTACTCAGTGATTCTGAAAATGTTTCTGCTATAGTTTTATGCAAATGCTTCCATTAGTGAGTAAGTAATTTCCGCATTGCTTTTTTAAGTGCCTCTTAACATGATCCATAAGGAGACCAGTCTGTAAGAACTGGACGAGTAAGCACTAGAGTCCATTAGCATTCATGGGTCTTTGTCAGAACATGAGACACTAAGCAAGAGCGTGCTCACCCATCATCTGAAAGAGACAAGAACAAAAGATATATTAGATAAATGATGTAAGTCATGATTTCTTACATTGACGATTTCCAGCTCCCACAGGTTCTTAACACACTCCAGGGTGCGGTAGCCGCTTGAAAGGAAGTTGGGTAGATATTCATGCAGACCGAGGCCATCCAGCCAAGAGGAGAGAGATGTGCTGCCATCACAGCCCAGTGCTTTTACCTGCAGAGCAGAGAAGAACACATGTAAGACAGCAAATTCTGTAATTTATATAGTTAGTATATATTCTTGTTTTCTAGTTATAGCTATAAATCTACATCACTAAAGCTAGACGCTGCCATTGCTGTTCTTAGCAATGCTAGCCGCTGTGTATTGACATTAAATTTGATAAAGACATTCATGGTTCCCAGAGGATGAATCCTGCTGACTCTGTTGATCCCATGACTTTTCCTCATGTCACCAGCAGGTTGACAGTTTTGGTTTTGAGCTAAATATGTCGACAGCTTCTGGATGAATTGGAAATGGAAATTTGCTACAGATATTCAAAGAGAAAAAATTCTAACAACTTTGATGATTCCCTGACTTTGATCTAGCAAATGGTAGCATGCTAAAAAGCGAAACCAAGATGCTGAACGTGATAAACATTATATCCATTTAACGTCAGCATGTTAGCATTGTCTTTGTGACTATGTTAGCATGCTGATGTTAGCGTTTAGCTCAAACACTGCTGCACAGTCTCATAGAGCTGCTAGCATGACACTAGACTCCATAACATCCACATTCCCAGGCCTGGGCACTATAAATTAAACTATAAATGTTATCCTTACTTTTTTCCAGCTTCAGCCCATGTGCTAACGTTACATTTACAGTATAAGTTAGACCAGTCTTTATTATCCCATTCTCCAGTACAAAAGTATACATTTTCATTTAAAATTGCAATGCATTTCAGGGTACTAGTTAAAATCATAGTTAGCAATATAATGCAATATTTTGACTTTTTTTTCTCTAAGACACTGTCGGTCAGTGTCCTTCCTCAGTGCCGAGGTTAAGTTATAAGGTTACGTACCTTTGGCAAGCTGCGTGCTGCATGGAGGATCTTCTTTCTGTGTCCTGGGTCAGTGATCCCAATGTCTCTGAGGTCCTGGTCCTCCATCACGTTACTTCCCTACATGTGCACAAACACAAGAGACAAGCACAAATAAACACATCCACACACAGGCGTTCACACAGCCACACTCAAACACACATGAATGCACACAAATAATCGCATACATGCAAGCACACACACACACAGACAAACACAATATATACAGTATGGACATACAACAGTACAATACCAGAAAATAAATTAGCAACCTATTATATAGTATATCTCACTCTCAGATGACACACACACACTCGTATTTACATATAAGACACTATACTGACACATGACCAATAGCTATAAGAACATAGGTCAATAAAAGTATCATGACATTTTCTACAATGCAACTACCAGGGTAAACAAACACACACAACATGCACACACACGCAGAATATGCACATCTCTGACACAAGCAGTAACAACAGAGTGGGAGGACAATGAAGTCAAATTGTGCATGCCAAGAGTAATCAATCTGATCTGGTGCGACTCAGAGGGAACAAAGCTTTCATAACTGCAGCAGCATCTAAACATTCCCTTTGCTGCTGTGTTTCATTGAGAGGAAACTAAACAGTCCAAGGAGAACCAAAAATATTTCACTACGGTTTGTAACAATTCCTTAATTTAGGACATAGAAACAATGAACAATAGTGAAATAATAATTTCACACTACACTACAATCTTGACTGACAAGCAGATTCTTGTTGGTTTCATGTAGCTGTTCATATTCACAGCTCCAGTTGCTTTGTCATCTTATTCCAGTTTATAGGCAGGAATAAAGATACCAGGAGAACCTTGAAAATGTGGAGCTAAGCGTTTTTCCCCGTGGACTGCTGCAGATTGATTCTTCCTGGCCAAGAATGTTAAAATGTTCTGTAGTCTTTACTCAATCTGCTCTCACTGGATTGGTTTCAGAGCACAATGCAGCAGTATTCACAGGCCTGTATCAGGGTGCAGTTGGGAGATTACTCACTGATCGCTAGAATAAAGGTCAAAATGAAGCAGGGTCTGATGTAAGGGAGGCCCAAAATAGATTCCCTACTTTTATTAACACAGTTTGAAGTTTGATGATGCCTCGGGAGACTCTGCAAACTTATTATTTCATGCTGCATTTGAAACATGTGATGGAAATGTATGGTTCAGTACTTACATAGCTTATGAGCTATGGTAGTTTGATTTAATCTGATACGACTTGCAGATGTAGCCATGGTAGAAGTCCTTCATCTCACTAAATGCACTGAGCTAATGCAACAGTGAATTAGAATTGCTCTATTGCTCTGCCCCACAGAGGAATTGTTTAGAAAAATCAAAGTTTGTTACTTTATCAAGAGTCTGCTGGCGTAACAGTAATCAGGCAAAGCAAAAAAAAAAAAAAAAATAGTATTTTATGTGTTACAATATGTATGTTCAGTACCACATTATAGCATTTGAGAAAGAGGGGGCTGCAGAAAGTGATGCAATATTAATGTTGGAGAGATGCAATGTAAATGCATGATGGGCGACTTCTAAGATGTTTTGCACTAGACAATATGCCTCATAGCTACATTAGTTTGGTCATCAGAGCATCAGACCGACAAAGCATCATGCTAAAAATAAATAAATAAATAAATCATGTGGAATTTTTGACTGTAAGTGAAATGTGTGGGCATAAAGGCCAAGAGAATGACAGCCACGGGCGCCCCACTTCTGGCAGCATGAAAGGAGCACAAAATGATAATCATCGTGTAAAAATTATGAGAATGGGCACACAGCTGTTCATAATTTATGATCCCTCAAAAGCTGCATCTCAGAGCAATCATCACATGCAGAGAGCCTTGCCGACTCATGTGAGTGCCTGCTCTCTTGCTCTGGTGGGCGGGCCCAAGGAAAGTTTCCAAGCAGCACTGTACATCTTCAGCTGTGACAGTGGTGGTTTGTAGGTACAGTACGGCTCGCATGCTACGATTCCTGCCACTGCAGAATTACTTAGTCAAGGGTTTTCATCCTCCTCTGGGCTCACAAACAATACAGAGGGTAAAAAAAAAAATCTGCTTTGGGTTTACTCTGATCTTGTTTTTATATGCAGTGAGTCTCTGAATTGGCTATGGTATTATTACACCTTCTTTGTTCTTCATTGTGTTTTCTATTATTACATATATGTATTCAACCATAACACTGAACTGAAAATGAGCCACAACATGCCGCCCTCTACTGATCAGTCTTCTATTCTTTGCAATGAATTCCACAAACAAGTTCTGATGTTCAAGTTCAGTTAGATTGATCACATCTGAAGCAAGTCTGGCAGAATCTAAAAGGGCACAATATTAAACATTCACAATGTCTGCCTGACTACTCTGACCTTTCCCTTGTTTGCAACCTCCACATCCTTGTAAATATCCATGGGTAATTTGCCTTGTGAAGCTAATGATTTATCTCCTTGATGCATCAAGTCCAGAAGACACATTAGTCGTGGCATGAAAATGAACATCAGAATGCCTAATGACCCTTAGTCCTCATCACATTATTGCCTGGAAATCTTGTTCAACATAGAATCTTCCAACCCAGTTGTAATGACAAGAAGGTTGATTTGTTTTCTTTTTAACCACTATCCAGATAACTATACACTAGAGTGACAACACAAATACTATGACATGATAACAATCTGTCAGCCAGTAAAGATTTTTAGATTCAAACTGAGATAGCTTAGTGAAAAAACAGCACTGTCATTTTTATCTATGAACTATTTCTCAATATTCTTTTTATCTATGAGCTATTTCTCAATTAAAGTTCCAGAAAATTCACTCTATATCTTTGCCACAGTATAATCTTTCACATATATTGTTAAAATTTTTTATTCATTTTATGGACCGACCAATCTTTGAGGTGAATATCAATACTTTTCTTCTTATCTTAGGCGGGTTGGTCTAGTGGTTAAGGCACATACCATTTACTATGGAAGCAACATCACCGGTTCAGTTTAGCTTGGGATTTTTGTTGCATGTCCTTTCCCATCTCCTTTAATTTCCTTCACCTCTCTACCTCACTTTTAAATAAATTAATACTATGCCCTAAAATATGCTTGAAAGAAAATATGAAATATACTAATGTGAGTGGGACATTTTAGAGTTGAAAAATGAACTTGTTACTGTTCTCTGGTGAACACACTATGTTCATCTTCTGTGGCATTTCTGTACAGCCATATTTTGTTACTTATTGTCCAACACATGATAATAGTATATATACAATAAGCTAACATCTTCTGATATATCTGTCTGCATGATTTGTCAGTTCAGCTCCAATCTAAATCGCATACCCCTACTGTAGTCTCTTTACTATGATTATATATCGTGACTACACATTATACTCCTTTAGTCTTGGTGCCAACTCATAAGCAAATACAAATCAGAGTCTAGAGTTTTATCTGCACAGCACCTCATAGTTGGAGCGATCGCATGTTCATAAGGACTCCATCATGTTGTGATCTCATGCTTTACCAGAAAGAAAGCAGATCAGAGAGCAGCACTCCTCAACTGGAACACTTTGCGAATACAACCACCTTCCCTCTGAGCTTACTGGTCTCACTTAACTGAGCTCAGCTGTGACAAACTGATGTAACATATAGCCCATAGTGTTAATGCAGCTCTATGGTCTAAGAAATGTCTGCGTTTATCCTTTGGGCCTAGTTATTTACAGTGTACAGCCATGTTTTCCAGAGAAACATGACCAGGGGATTGAAAACGTAATGCTGCTTTCTACAATCACTGCCAAATGTAATATCAAGTTTCGCTGCTATGTTCTTTTTGGGAAACATGATAACGCTTTTAGTCAGATTGTAGACGTCCTTTGGGCTGCTGTTAAACGAATTTATCAATATGTAATCTGATGGAGGCGTTTAAAAATGCAAAACATTCGTGCAAATTGTGTTGATGACTTCCAGAAACACTAATCTGTCTGATCTTTTTTTTTTTTTCCAACCATTACATCACCATTTACAAATCATGTGGGTTTTGATAATTTACTTAGTTGTGAAATAATCTGTAACAAAAATGTCTGCATGCCAACATGTGTAATTAAAATCTAAAAACCATTATTATACAGTACATAAATACAACATTGGAGCATGCTGCTGCAGTGTAATCATACATTGTGCAGTTTGTGCAAGATTGTCTCACAGCATCACAAGCAGAGCACAGAGCATAATGGGTAGCGGATTTAGTGAGATTTGGCAAGCAACCATGCAAAGTGCATTTAGAATAGACTATAGTGAGTTTAAATTGAGGATTGTTTGTCCATCTGTATGTATATACACAAAGGTCAAGTCCAGTGGCTGTAAATCAGAGGATTCAGTATAGGGGGAGGAGGTGACTGTAGAATCGTACAGAAAATGAGATAGCATGATTGGGAATGCTGGGAAAAAAGTTAATGGGTTTTGGTTGTCATTTGTCTTACCATTGGTGACAGCCCATATTCTTTAAAGGGATTCAGTGAGGGGCCATAAATCTTAGCAGGGTCATGCACTGCACAGGGGTGAAGAGGAGTTATGGAGGGAAGAGGGGACAGGGGGAGGGAAGAGGAAAGGTAGAGTGTGAAAGAGAAAAGAGAGGGGGGAGCGGAGGTACTGAGAGACAAGCAGAGGGTGAGAGAGAGTGAAAGTGGTGACATAAAAAGACAAATGCAGCTAAGGTTAACAGAGGGAGAGGCAGAGTGATGTAAAGTGGAACCGACCCCTGAGATGACGTGCTGCAGGTGACTCACCATGAATCGTAGGTCGTCGAAGCCATTGAGCAGGAACTTGCTCTCGTACTGCGGCAGCCCCACGTGCTCCAGCCACTCTCCCACCGGCTGATCCAGGGCTTTACCACAGGCCCCATCTGCCGAGAGAGGGAAGCGCTTCAGCAGTGAGAAGCCGTTCAGCCGGTAGCAGCGGCACTCAGAGGACGACACATGGCATTGCCACATCATCCTCGGCCAGCAGAGGCAGAGCCGAGTGCAGCAGCACCAGGCAGGGTGGGGGGGAGACAGGGTCCAGGCCGGGGGTGAGGGGCTCCCACGGTACAGGCGGGGGCCCGACTAAACTCAAACACAGGAGGAGGATAGGAAGTGCTGCAGGCCCAGCTCAAGCCCTGCAGGGGACTGACTAGGCTAATATACACCCACTGGTGTTAGTGTGACTGACTGGAAATGTCAGGCGAGGGTGGAGGTAGTGCAGGGAAGGAAGCCCATCTGAAGCTTGGTACTGTTAGTTATGTTGGACTGACCCACTAAGGCATCTTCCAACAAACAGGGTTCACTAAACATTCCTTTAGTGAGAAGATGAGCGAGTGTAAAAACAAGTGCCTAGCTAGTCCAAAAACATAACAATACTTAACACTACAAGTTAAGAGATTAGATAATTTTCAGGCTGAGGGAAAATGGAAATTATTTATCACTAAATTAGACATTTTCATACACCACATATTATTTACTCTGCTAAAACTATCCCCGTCATTTTCTAAAATCAGAAATTACTCCCTCAGGGTGTAACACAGAAATATTCAGTTCCCCCAAAATAAATTTGTCAGGGTTTTCACCACATACTTGTAAAGCTCTGGCTGAGTCCCATGGCTTCATTGGTCACCCTCTTTGAGAGCTAGGACACGGCTCATACAATGAAGGTAGCAGCATTCTAAAGTACTGTTGAGGTACTCGTGTTATTTTTGATCAAGGAATATACATTTGCTTAAATCATGTTTCGTCCTTACTCCAAAGCCACACAGAGTACAGTCAGGTAGACATATTGTAAATCCTACATCGAAAAAGAAACGTTGGCTTGGGATTTCCACAGTGTGCTGATTCCAAACTCCTCAATTCATTATCAAATCCAAGTATAGATTCCTTGATGAAGCTCCAGGTAAGCTGTTTGCCGGTGGAAAAAGGCTCGGTGTCCTTGGTGGTGCCAGCGCTCCCTGTGCTGCCCAGCATTCACACTCTTCAGCAGGCTGCTGGCTGTGCGGCTCCGCCAGAGAACGTGCTTCTCATCTCTCAAAGCAGTAAATCCAGGTTCAGATCCATTAAACGGCAGGTGAGCCTCTTGACTCTGAAGCGAGGATAACTGCAGGACCACAGAGCAGGTTAAGCTAGCTCCTTCCTGAGGCAGGCGCCCCCCACTCCCACCCCAGCCCACCTGGTTCTTCTCCTCGCTGGGTACAGCTAGCAGCCTCTGCGCTCAGGGCAGAGGTTTGCTGCATCCCCTGCCTGTCTGAGACATGCAGGCAGTGCAGATGCAGTCACAGCAGCTGCTCCTGGCTCACACACGTTACCCCTCACTGCTCATAGGGCATAACGTCCTGACGCCGGCTACTTCTACACAGGAGACCACAGATCTGCCTCAACCTCAGCCACTACTGCCACGTCCTTCCCACATCCACGACAGCCAACAGACTCAGTGATCATCCCCCCTTCTCATCTGAGCAAATCCCTCAAGCTCTTCTTTTTAACTCCCCCCCTCCTTGCTCTCGTCTCTCTCTGCTTTCTTTCTCTCGCTCTCGATCTCATAGCCCCATTCCCATACTGTGTGATCGCACTGCAGGGCTGCCGTATGCTGCCTGATGAAGTGGGGTGCTGCTCCACGTAACCACCTCTCCCTCACTCTCCCACTATATCAATTCCCCTCCCTCTGCCTCTCTCTCCCTCTCTGGCTTGCACTCTCCCTCACTCTGTCTCGCTCCTTGCCTCTTGCTCTCAAACACACAGACAGCTGCAAACACACTCTGTCTCTGTCCTCATCGTCTGTCTCTCTACCCCTTTCCCCTTCTATCTTGCCCCCCTTTCTTTCTCATACAAATGCACACATACTAGCTCTTGTCTGTGTGTGTCGCCCCCCACCACCACCACCACAACTACCACCACCACTGCACTGATTAGAATTGCACAGAGGCACTCTGATCTTGGCAGTGCAGAAAGGACACCACCATCAGAGAAAAGGAACAAGCACTGAGAGCCCGAAATCACAGTCTTTTTCTTTTAAGAATGACTAGAATGTAAAGGGGAGACGGCAACGCGATCCTGTTCTGAAGGAGGAACGTCAATTTTTTAGGCTAACATGGGATATTGAAACAAAGAGCCTCCTCAAGCCCCAGCTTATTAGCAGATGGCTTTAATTCATTTACATCTTACTTTGATGATAGAACGAGGGGGGGCAGCATTGATTCAAGTCAGCAGAAGTCTCTAACATGCTCAAACAGGAGAAGAGAAGAGAAGAGACATACTTCAAGTCCATCTACGTCTCAACCAGTCATACAGCATGACAGAAAAGAGGCAAATTCCATTATGTACTTCCAGATGCTCATGTCACATCGACCATTTTTAGAGCATAGCAGAGGCTACTTACAGGAAAAAAAACCTGCATTAATAGATGAGATGGTATAAAACAGATACATTTTTAGGGTAAAAAGACTCACGCACAGTGCCATTTGACTTTGAAAGAATTGCCACAGTCTACACAGGGACTGGTTTACTTCAGCACCCACCCATGCAGGGCTGCTCACTGCGTCCGTCACTGGTGTTATCTGGGTACGGCTGCAGGCAGAGCGTAATTATGCAGGCTTTCAAGCTGCTTGCAATCACCTCACACATTCCCAAACGGGTAGTCAGCCAGTCAGTAAGGCAGTCAGGGCAAGACGATGCGGTGCCAACAGAGGGAGGCAAAGTGAAGGGCTATTGATTGAACCTCCTCCGTAATTGGCTGCCTGTACCACTGTTGCTCTGGTGTTAACGATCAGGTAAAAGGCCAGGTCAGGTCTCCGTGACCCGTCAGTCATCCGCAAGGACCAGTGCTCATCATTCGTTATCAGGAAGAGGAGCTGCTGTCAGATTTGTTCTAGCCGAGGAGAAGAATGATGGAAACAGGGAGTGAGAGAGAATGAGCAGGATACAGATAAGACACAGAAAAAGACTAATAGAGGAGGAGGCGATGAAACATATGGGCAAGATAAAATTTACCATCTTATCTCCGGGAAGTAAGAAGGATTGAAGTGGACTAATTATGATTCACTACGAGATCCCACAACTCCTCCTCCTCCTTCTTTACTCTCTCCCTGAGCCTCACACCAAAGTCAGCTCTTACACCACAATATCCAGACAAAGACTGTTAAAAATACCAGCCACCCCATCCAATTACTTCCATTCATTTGGGACAGCACCACCTCCCACGGTACTAGGACCTAATTACTGACTGACAGAGTATCCAATGCTCCTCCGTGGGGGGTAACTGGGTCACTGTCTTATCCCCTGTTAAACAGGCCAAGCTGTCAAATCTACCCAAGTGGGTTTCTGTACTGTTTGAGCACTGCTAGGTCTAGACTTGGCTCCGAGGAGCGCCCCGAAAGACCTATTTACAGAGGAAGAGGTAGAGGTTGTGCCTTGATAAAGCCGTGCCTCTTTATCAGAGCAGGAGAAAAGCACTAGCTCCTTGTCAACACACCCAAGCACTGGAGAAAATGAGCCGCAAAGCTGAATTAATTCAGGGAAACTGAAGGCGGACTCTTTTCCTTTGAACGTCAGTGTGTGCCTGTACACAAACTGAGCCGATGCCTCCTGTGTGCTGTTAGCTGAGCTCTCTCTCCACTCCCTCTCTCTTTTTAAGCTCATTTACTCAGTGCTCTCTTAGCACACAATCGAGGCACTCGTGATGGGCACACAACACAAACATTCTCATCCTTGAGCATGCAAATTGGCACAAAATTGAAGGGCTGTTTTTTGTAGCCACAAAAATCTGATGTTCAGAAACCTGCTTCCTGAGGATGAATTGGTTGTCCTTGGCTCCTGATATGAGAGAGACGGTAAACAAGGAAAAGGTGGATGGAATGAAAACAGGGACACAGGATAAGGTTTTCCCAGTTCTGTCACAATAAAAAGATAAAGGTTCGATCAAGAGCGACAATTTAGTTTTCCATCTTTTTGTAATCCCCCCTTTTCTTCCTCTTTCCACCTCTCTCCTGCTGATGACTGTGTATGGTACCTGTTTGTTCCCTTTCAGTACATTGTGGAGAAAGAAATATGACCCCTTTACTAACACATACACATACAAAAACAGCAACAAAAGCATCCTCTCAACCTCCAGAACTACTTGTGCACAATCTCCGATTGAAATCAGAGCAGCAACTGCATGACTCAGCTGAATCTGGGACACTTTCAGTATGCCGTTCCTCAAACAAGGTCTATAAATAGCTCACACCTATATGTGAAAGAAAAAACAAACAAACAAAAAACAACATATTTCCTCTTATGTAATGTGAAACAACCTCAGGTCTTAATTGTTAGGACAGCAATTAATCTAAGAATGCTTGGGTGTGCTTGAAGTCAAGTTACAATTAACATCATACATCAACACTACCATGAAAGCCAGCTTTCTAAAAAGGTGCCATATAAATTAAGTTTACTTTTATTTTACCATTATAATATTATTAAATTAGAATATTAACCTTCTTCACACAACTCATCAACATTTCCCCTTCATGACCGAGGTAAATTTTTAATATGAAATCGAGAAGAGTTGATTAAATGAGTAGATGTCCTTAACATTTTGTACACTAAGCATTTAGCTGAAATGGTTGTATAAGTCAAACTAACTTTTTTTCCCATTAAGAACACTTAACTGCATAGACAGGAGGAAGTGATGACACAGTGACACATGCTGCAGTGAAAGCCTTAATTCTCCTAATTCCAATGTCATTTCTTTTCTATTTTCCAGTTTTCTTATTCTATATCCTTTTATCACAATCACACATTTTACCATTTCTGTGCTTGGGTGGCATTACACCTTGCTGTGGTCAGCAGAATAGTAGTCGCATACTGCGCATAACTAATGAAAATTTTATCTAAATGAATCTGATGAGACTTGTAAAAAGCTTTCCTGTGCAGACCCAGAGAAGCTGTTACACAATCCTGTGAAACCTCCTTATGGCAGAGTATCTAATGGAGGT